TAGAAGGGCGTATATCGCGTTAATTTGCTAACCCGAGGCTTGTTTCGATTTATCTACTACTACCTAATACTAAGACCCCTTCGCTAGAAGTAATAAAAATACTAAATCAACGGATTCGATAGTAAATAGAATCGCCTAACCGAGGAATAACGTTTATCTTACTTAACCTTATAATAGCTAAGCTATTCGTTTTCGTTAACAAGTCGTTTGCTAATAACTATAACCTCTCCTCCTAATTAGGGTTTCTAATTATCCTAGCTAACGATACTTCTTCTAATAGTAATAACGGAGAATTTACGATTTATAATAACCTCGTTTATTATAGCTTTACGAAGAGTAAACAAGTCACCCGTAGCGTATTAGCGTTAGAGATCTACGGGATAGTCGCTAGCGTCGATATAGCCTACGCCCTTGCTATAACCCTAGCGATAATTACTAACTACCTTAACCTACTAACGATTTAGATAGTTATCTATACCGATTCTTATTTGCTATACGAGTATCTCGTAAAGCTAGGCATTACTAAAGAAAAGCGACTTATGGTCGATATTATAGCGTTAAGACAATCGTACGAAAGACGAGAACTATAAGAAATTCGTTAGATTAACGGCGAAGACAACCCTACTAATGCCCTTACGAAGAGCAAACCAAATCGAGCCTTCGAGAGATTCGTTAATAGCAATACGATAACGATACGTATAGAGGGATAGGTAACAAGACCGTAACTACGGGAGAAAGTAAGGATAGGAGGCCGAATTGACGAGGAGACGGAACTATATAGGGACAACGTATTTCAACCGCTTCAACACCATAAAAAGAGAGTTTCCAGTATTGCGATAGTTGGAATACGGAGTCGTGTGGCACTTCCAGCCACACGCCCGCCAGGCTGAGAGGCCCAAGCCTCCCAGACCCACGTGACAGGCCAAGGGGGAATATCCCCACCTTCTAGTCAACAACACCACTTTCAACTATCATGAACCATCGATTAGAACCAATTTACTGTTATTTGTTATTGACGAACGGAATTCCGTTTCACCCCCTGTGAAACCTACAGTTTTGTTGACTCAACGCTGCATTTTGCCTAAAAAAACAGATTGACATGATAGAGTCTGTTGATTTTAGAACTTGCGATTATCAATAGTCACCTTGATGGTTACAACGAAGGATGTGTTCCTAATCAAGTAACTTTAAACCTAGTCGGTTAACTCATCAGCCTATAAACAGCCTATATACGTGCGAGTGTTACAAAGCTATAATCCTTTAACGACCTTTAGGCTAAAATCATAAAGTTCTTACAGCAACAGAACATTGCAAAAACAACACGGCTTTTATAACTCTATATCATTTGCCATTCAAATCCAACAATCACTACCATGCTCAAATTACGCACCATTCCATACAAACGTATTGAGCGCAGTCATAAACAGAGGTTGAATCAACCGTTTTGCCCCCGACACTAGTGAAACTCAATTCGGCGGGAAGTCACCCTCCCCACGATCGTAATCGCGGGCACTCCCGATTGCAACGCCCATGACGCCAAAACTTGGGACGATTTTAGTACAACATGCCGACTAGACTATTCGCGGTCGCATTAATCAGCACTTGGTCTCGACGGGATGAAACCTAACGTTGCATCCCAACTTTCGGACGCCAGACGACTTTCAATATTGGAGGTAGGGAGGGTATTCGGACATACCGACTTGCGCGTCTTGACATTTTCCATGCAAGTCGAAAAAAGCAGGTTGTCAACGCAATTCCTCTCTCGACATGTTTCTTTCTTTTTGAGGGGTTACGCTGGTTGTCGGCGTTACCGAAATGCAGTAACCAAGATCAAAATTCCAACCCCATCTTGCTACTTCAGACTACCTAAGTAGTCCCCTTGCATTTTTTTTTGAACAAATTCCTACAGCTGCAATTAATACGGACACACGCGCCCGAGGCCCGAATTGCGTCATAGCCTTCTCGTAACTTATGCCTCTTATTCTCCTTAAGGCCTCAAAAATCGCCCTCCTTCGCCGCATACGACCCGCATATACGTGATGTCCGCAGCAGAAACGCAGGTAGACCGGGTTGCTGGGTACCCAGTACCCATGATCAATAATTGTGGCAGCGACCGCCCAGTGAGACAGTGGGAGTCCGTAAATAGGACATTTCAACAAGTGCTAGTCTTTCCCATGAGTAATTCCGCGTGTACTGGTCCCCTTCCCCGGTGCCCTTCCTTTCGTTCATGCGAGTTGGCGTTGCAATGCTATAATCCCCTGGCAGGGTTCATACTCCGAGATGAGTGCGCTTTCGTACGTAACAGGGGACTGGGCCAAAGGCGCGGCAGTTGTTGAATTACATACGTGCGTGGGACGCGGGGATTATCCTCTCGGCGATGCACCAAGGGGGGGGGGACATTTACCAGCTGCAGTAACATCGCAATTTTATCGCTCGCTCTCCCCGTTCGGGCATGCCTAGATGACGCATTTTGAAATATTCCCCGCGGTGGTTGGAAGGGGTGCAAAAAAAAAAAGAAAAAAAAAAGAAGAAGAATGGGATAGAGGTCTACCTGGTATGTGGGGGTACGCACCCAGCCCCGAATACAAACAGGCTGACCTTCCATTGCAGGATGCGCAGTACACAATTCATCATCCCCTCACGCCCCTCTCCCTCCCCTCATCCTCCCTCCCCCGGCCTCTCCAATATCCACCCCCCCTTGACAATCTACTACTACTTACTACCTCACAACACACTCTCCCCCCCCCCCCCCCCCCGCCCCCGGCTTGCACTCAACACCATCACCGGCGCTAGGAACATCCGGGACCAGCCGCAGGAGCAGGAAATCCAGGGCCAGTTGTAAGCGCGGCTGTGATCAGCCACGCAGCATCGATGCCATCATTATGCAACTTGAGCGTCTTTGAAGGGGTGGGGGAAGCATCTCTTTTTTGGCTCCCGCCTAAAGAGAGGTCGATAGAGAGAGAGAATGCATCGTGCAGATACAGACCGCTTCTTTGCCACACACACACACATCAGGGTCCAGGCTGGCGCAACACCTTTCGGCTTTGATTCGGTAAGGCTCAGCTTTCGACAACATTCGAGCCAAGCCAGACACCACGACGGCGGCGGCGACGACGACGACGATAAGTCGACAACTACTACACTGCCACTCACAAGACTCGCCTACTGTCCTCTGGTTGGCTTTCCCTTTTGGCTACCTCTTAACCTTCAGCTACTCGGGGAACCAACCACCTACAGGCATACATGGCACATTTGGGCGAGACAATACTTCCAAAGAAAGGCCCGCATTGCAGCCCAAGTACTCGAGTGATCTTCACGCTCCTAGCCGAGTCCATTTCGAGCAAAGCCTTGTAATAGTAATCATGTATGTCTTTATGTGATAGGTAGCAGTGATCCTTATTTCTCGTACGTACATTGCAGACGTCCACCGGACGCAAGGGGTGCATGATCTTCGGGATCCTTCCTATCGGCCCAGATGCTCAAGTCCCATAAAAAAAGCCAAAGTAAAAAAATTCAACGCTTGTCCAACTCCTTGAGTCCTCTCGTGTTGCCACGCTGCCCAATCCTGTTTCAAAATAGTACCCGCGTACTGCCCGTTCTTTTTTCTCTGGGTATCTCTGTAGAGTCTAGTAACTCAGATGCGGATGCCCCGATACACCGTTCCCATCGAATCGCGTCCCATCCCACGGTTGTCTAATAACTTCCATGATGCAAGCTTCACCATCGTGAGCCCAAATGTAAACCAACCCAGCAGACAAGTTGCGTCTGAAAAGAAAAAAAAGAGAAAACAATGGTTTTTTTATCCTGTAAAAAAAGAAACGAAGATTGCGAGTTTGAAGAAAGAAAAGAACCCCTTGAAAAATGAAACTGCTCAACAACTAATTTCTGCACCTTCTTACACTCTCCAACGATGAGAATACAACCTTGACCGCGAAAATGGAAGATCCAAGGGAATAGAATATAAAACCACTCGAAATGAGCGAGTGAAAACCAGGACTGGGAAAAAAAAAAGAGTATAGAAAATGAATTTTCAGACAACCTCCCAAAAAAAAAATCCAAAAAAGCAAAAATTAACGTTAATGAAATTACGCTCCTTTTTCTCGCCGTCCCGTTTGGCAAGGACACTTTCGTATCATGACGCGCCTATAATCCTTTCTTTGTTTCCCGAATTGTGTTCCTGTATAGGGTTGATTCATTCGTTTTGTTTACTCGATTCCGTACCGTTCCCATAGTGTCCCCCTTCTTGAATCGTTTTCGTTCCATTCGTTTGAGAGGCCGTTGATATTTGTCGCAACTAATGTGGACTACCCGTGTGCGACGCTTAGTACATGGCATGGGCTGGTTGAGCGTAGATACGGTCGCGGTACGCTCCGGGCAACCCGTCGTATCTGGGGCTGCTCGCGCTTGAAGACTGATCCATGTCTGTGTCATAGACATCATAGCCATGCTGATGGTGGTGCATGTACTGCTCCGGAGGAGGCAAGCGCTTAGAGCTGTAGGCTGCGAGGCTCGTCGGGCCGGGAACTCGCTTGACAGGGTATGATGAGGGAGCGGTCCTTGACTTGGAGACGCGGCTGGCGTTGCTGACCCTGCGATCCTTACCACGGCCCTTGATACCCTTGTTGCTGTTCTTGTAGAGATTGGCAAAGTACCAATACATCTCGCGATCCTCATCGGAAAGACCGTCGATATCAGACAGCGATACAATCCAATCAGTGAGCTCCATCAAGGTCTTCTCATGGTATTTGTTTTGGTGGTTCTGATCAGTGTTAATTAGGTAAAACATCGCGAGACGGGGTCATGTTAGCCACATACCTTTAAGTTGCCTCTTTGAGTGAACATCTTGTTGCACTGATCTAGTTTGCAAACGAATGGCTTGGCGTTGGTGTGGGTAGCCATGTGTGTTTGGAGGTTGCCACGCTGAGCGAACACTTTGCTGCACTGCTCGCATCGGAAGGGCTTTTCACCGGTATGGCGGCGCATGTGCGTCTTGCTGAATGTCAGTTCATGTATGCCTTCAACTTCGGGCGTTCGCTTACCTTGAGGTTGCCTGGCTGTGAGAAAGTGCGTCCGCAACGCGGCCAGTTGCATGCCTACTGCAGGTTAGAATTGCCTCTTCGGTGTTCGATAGACAATTACTCACGTATGGCTTCTCTCCGGTATGGGCACGCTTGTGCGTGTCCAGGTGAGTGCTCTGGTAGAAGCTCTTGCCACACCCGTCGACGTCGCAAATGTATTTCTTCGGTTTTGGTGCATCTGCTGGCTCTGTGGTAGTCTCACCCTGATCAAAGTTAGCTGAGATGGCACGTTTGTGATGAGTTTTCAGGTACCTACCTGTGGCTGACTCTGTGGCTGGCTTTGTGCCTGGCTCTGACCTTGGGTCTGGGTTTGAGCCCGGGGTTGGGGCGACTTGGGTTCGGGCTTCACCACCTTCTCAATCTCGGGTACACCCTTGACGATATCTTCTGAATCGTGCCTCTTCTGGATGGCCTTCATCAGGGTATCAATGGCGGTGGTGAAGTTGACAGGCTCGGCACTGGTAGGCTTGTTGAACTTAATGTCCTTGGTGTTGAGTGGGTGGGGAGTCTTTGGAGCGCTAAGCTTCGTCTCGCTCCGGGTTGAAGGGCTACGATGACGGTCGTTTTGAACAGAGGGGCTTTCCTGAGGGTAGGAACTCGCGCGAGGTACCTCGTGTTCTGGCGCCACAACAGGCATCATCTGGCGCTCCTGTTGTGCTGGTAGTCTGAAGGGCATGTTCATGTTGGCTGGAGACGAATCGTATTGGGTGTAGGCGAAATGGTTCTGGGTCGGGCACGGGTGCCCCATGGTCGGCATAGATGCGACGCCGTAGTGGTTTCCAACCATGTACTGGGGAGCCATGATGGCTCCGTTCATAGGGGCCGACGTTGCAGCTCTCGCGTCATAAGACACGAAGTTTGAGTTGTCCATCATGGTATAATCGCTTGCGGCGTGTTGTTGTTGCCAACGACCCCAACCCTGAGGTGCGGCTGATTGTTCCGTCAGGGCCATTGGGAATAGGCCAAGTAGCGCTGGTGGTGGTGAAGTTGGAGTGGCGTGAGTAGGTGGAAGCGGATGTAAGTTGAGATGATGGCGAGTTTCTCTAGATGATCTTGATTTGGATCAAGAGAGAGAGGGAAGGCACTCAAAGGAGGGTGAGTCTGAAGTGTATATCAAAAGGAAGGAGCGAATGGAGCAGAGGAATGATGACTCGGGATGTCCAAGTTTATAATCTCGTGGGCTGGAGAAAGAAAAGATGGATGTAGATGTAGGCCCGGGGAGACAGAAGAATGTATAGTCAACTCTTGGGAGGGGATGGCTGATGTGCTGCCAGGGTCGAATGATAATCCTAGAAGCTAATCGACTGAATTGGGTTCCGGAGATCTTAGCACTAAATATACATGCATTCAAAGCGAGACCAGCAGGACCCAAAGAGTGGGTTGCCTTGAGAAAAAGAACAGTTGACGGCGAGAACATGGAGGTTTGTGGAAATCGACCCCCACCAAGACGAACGAGACGGAGGGCATCCACGAAAGCCGGGGTAGTGAGTGAGTGGACCAGGGCATTGTCAACACAGACGAGTACAAGACCTGACCGACAAGGGTGGTTGAGAGTGACGGGGAGGGGGTAAATTTGGGGCCTGGGGGTGGGAGTGGAAGGAGGCGTCATACCCATGCCCTGCAACTAAAAAGTGAGAGGTAGGTATGTCTCTCTCAGAGACTGCTAGTCTGCTCTCTTCTCATATACGGTGGAGGCGGCGGCGAACGGCGATAGGCGTCCCCAAGAAAGCTGAAGGACGAGTAATCACCCATTGGCTTAGGCCAAGTAGAAGGACGGACCTCGGGCTCGCCAGGCCTGAGCGGGGGGAGGCCAGACAGAGCAAGATATCAGTCTGGACCACCTCGGAATCTCGAGTAAAGGAATGAGACATTCTGTTAATATGGGCTGTACCCATACTGGAAAGAAGCCGGGCACTTGGGTTACTTGTCTCCTCGCATGTACCTCGAACGGTGCTTGTGAGCAGCGGCAGCAGAGATATGATGGCAGAGATACTCATCACTACCGGACGGGGTATGAGGAATAGTAGTTGGATGGCGAGAGTTTGAAACACGCATGTCCAGAAGTTTTCAAATAAACAGAGCCCCTGTGCATCTCCAAGAGGTCAAGGAGCCAGGTTTGGTTGCTGTGGCCTCGAATCCTCGTTGCTTATTCTTTCTTCGACCTGCAGCACGGTGACATCCCACTTCAGTGAAAACCCAGATCTCGCCCAAAAGGGTGCCACGAATTGCTTTTGGTCGCAGACTAGGATCGCCGGGAGCTTTCATGTTGCAGCCGGACGGCAAGGTGAGGCAGGGGAGGGTAGCAGAGGAACTTTTCAAGGCGTCGAGACAATATGAGAAGAGATAGAGATACAGATAGAGACACGCAATACCAGTAGGATTTGGACATTGGAGAAAGGCGCGCCACGCAGTAGCCAGGACTACCTGGTCATGAGAGCGGTCATCCAGGTTCGTGGCTAGTCTGATAGAAAGTCAAGGTCTTTCGCTGAGTGACATGACCGTTGGGCATTGTGGAAGCAGTTGCTCGAGCTGAGGCGGGGAGAAAGAGGGTGGTTGACAGGGCATGTCTGTCATCGTATGTAGGGCGGAAGCTGAGGGTGAGGGCGATCGCTGATGGTGACGACGGCAATGATGCCAACAACAATCCAGCAGAAGGCTTTTCAAGAGAAGCACAAAGCAGGGAAAGCAACGAATGTGCTGGACAGTAAGGAAGCGAGATACTCCAGAGGGGGTAGCAAGACAGGGCAGAGCAAGTGAGAAGCCGGAGGCATGAGCATAGGGTTCCGGGATGGCTCTTGTGAACGTAGTACAGAGAATGTCTAGCAATGTCAGACATGGGAGACTGGAAAAAGAGCCCGGATGTCGACCAGGGCTCCCTGCCTCCTGGGTTCTCTATTTTTTTGGTGCAGGCGCGAGCGGGACTCACGCCAGGGAGGAGGTGTGAATCCCATTGGCATTAGGGAAAGGAAGAGGGGGGGTAGTGATGTTAATGGCGATGGGGTGCAATGAAGCAATGAAGCAGCCTTCGATTGTGGTACGTACCGAATTATACTGCATATAGCGGCAGCGGACACCAAGACCCGTGCAGCTGCAAGAGTGGGGAATGGCGACATCTTCGGGTACGTACTTAATTTTTTTGCCGGTACGTACTGGCCTGCCTTTTACACTACTTACATACCATGTAATCACTGCGGTCGATTTGGCATTGGCTCTCGCGCGGGTGCAATCGGCCACCCCCTCCCCCTTCCTCTTCTGCTCCAAGGTCCCCTACTTCACCTATCCTGACCGTCCTTACATTATTCTACTATCCACACACCCTCACTCGAAGCCACAACCGGGAATCCGCAACCTTGACCACCAGTTGCTGCTACACCACACATCTCGTCTCTACTGCAACTTCTGTGGTCCTTCATCCGTCTGCCTGTTGGTTGGCCATGCTTGGACAGCCCCCCCCTTCCTTCATGGGATGGATTCCATGGGATGGATTCCAAACCGTCAGCACCTACTTTGGTCCCAAAGCCAACTGTATCACTACAGAACGTTGGGCGCGTTCCCCAATCAAAGGCATTTGTTTGCCTGCCAATACCACAAACGCTTTTAATGTGTTTGCTAACTAGCTCCGGGGCGAACTTTTCCTCCTCTCGGTGCCTGCCAGCGGCCAGGGACAATACGGAGGAGATCGCTGCCATGAGCTCTTCTGCTTGAGATTACGTCAATTATCTCTTGTGCCTGCATAGCCTCGAAACAGAAACCCTCAGTTTGGTCCTGACTTAAAGCCGCATGTTAGCTGACGATCGTTACGGATACCTCCATGTTCCCCAACAGATGCCCTTGAGTTGCCCGGGCATGGGGTATATGCTGGACCAGACTGTTAAGCGCCTCGTATCACGCCTCCTTCCTCCCGCCTCATTTCGCAACTCCCGTCACCACGAGGCTACGTGACGTTTCCCCACCGTCGCAACCCTGCTCGTCTGTCACCGTCGCCTTCACCCCTCGCACGTACCCTGTCAGCAAATGAGTGTTTGACAGCTCGCAACAATACCCTTTTTCCTGTCCGTTTTCAAGGCCTCGCCAACCGAGCTGTCACCATGCCACCCTCTCACTTGGCATCGCAAGGAAGCTGGCGAACTGCCTGGGGATCCTTTCAGCCGTCCGCAACTCCCCGAACTCCAGTTCGGAGAAAAGCTACAGTGGCGGCTTTTCAACCCTACTGCCTTCTCAATCCCTCTAGTGTGTCCGCCCCAGATTTGGCCTTCAGATGTAAGGTCTGGCTGCATTTGCCCTTTACCAGTACCAACGAACATTCGAAGATCAAACTCGTTCCCTGGGCGAGCAGATCAATGGATATTTTGCCGTTACGGTGCTGGCCGTCTAGGACCGAAATCACCTCAAGCTAGACGGTCTCCACGGCGGGTAAGAACGGCAGCCAGTCGAATGATGGCACCCTATAAAGATTATCCTCCTGCATCAAAACCTCCGAACTGCAAAGGCAGGGGAGAAAGGAAGGCAGAGTGCAGTACAGACTCTTCGCACTCCGCCATCATAACCGGAACTCAGGGGTGTGCCGCTGCCGGTGGTCCCCGTCCCCCCCTTCATCCACCAGGCCCTGCGATCTGCTTGGGTCGCTCTTCGATCATGGATCTCAGATGAATGGCACTGACTTAGCTCCACATGATTGGTACCTTGGACTGCCCAACCAGTGGCCCTAAGTTGCGACATAGGACCAGCCTTCTTCTACAACCCGTAAAAAAATAACATGCGGTCCAATCCAACCGACAGCTGCAGCACAAGACCACTGCAATCTAATGCTACACATCGTGTTGCTCGACAAAAAATTTTCTGATTTCAGTATCTATGGTTGCTTAAATTGTCGGCCCACTAATTATCGTCTGTATAGGTAACTACAGGCGAAATCCTCTTCCTAATCAGCCTCACCCCATTTCTCCTTGGCCTCGGTGATAATCCGAAGTGCGCAATTCGCCCATGTTTCAAACAGTGGCAGTGTATAACTGCTAGTGCCTTCCTTCAAGTAAGGTATGTGGCTGTTATTCAAACCTACAGCATAGACGGAACGGTTTGAAGTGCACGCAGGGGGTCTGGTTCACCCGGTATGGGACCCAGTGCGGGACGGTCAGCCTTCCGCTGCGAAATCAGACATCCCACTGGCCGACCCTGCTGGGCTGGCATGGAACTACAGGAGCCATGGCTTGTTACCGAGTTCTACTACTGGCTTATGATGTAAGCAATCACCTCTTTGAGAGTTACAAGCAGGTGGTGAGCTGAGGCTCCCCAGCAATCACATTTTGATGTTCTTTTGTCATTCACGACAAGCAGATCAAGTTCAAGCTTGATTTCGTTGGGGCGAGGTTAGGTCTTGGTCCTGGCCACCCTAACTCGATGCAGGAGATGATTACACAGTGGGGTTGCACAACAATTCTAGCATCCCGGATTATACAACACATGCAGAGGCATTAGCATTGGAATCGGCCATTCTGATGACACTAGTCTGTTGCGATGGCCAGCCACTTAGCGAGCTTTAACTATCTTTATAGGAGCGGCTCCACACTCATTGCTGCCACCGCAGCAAAAGGAAGCAAAGCAAAGACATGGTATTCCCAAGAGCACACTCGCTTGTCCATATCTGCTTCACCGTCGACTCGGCTTCATTTAAACTTCTCAAGTTCAAGAGCCGCATCCCTCGGCTTGCTTTCAAATTAAAACCATACCCAACAGCTCGGTGGAATGGCTACACAAACTCGTGCGCATGCACCTCACTTGAACCCTGCCGCCTCAGAAACTCGGATTATCTCCAACGTCCAGATAGACGGTACCTCCTCGGCTTTCCCACATTAGGTGGTCTTGTTCAGGAGTAAAACCAATGCGCTCCATTGTCTTCCACTGATAGCTCTCCGGACTCATCATTCTTGTTCTTTGGCTTAAACCTGGCGGAACCCGTGTCATCACTCATATATTCTCTCATCATAAATCACATTTGACGTAGTCCAATCGACTTTGGGAACACTTCCGCGGCCTTGGCACAGGCACAGGCACACACACACACACACACACACACACACACACACACACACACCCATCCACCCGCCCACTATGCCACTACACTTCAACCTCTGTGCCTAGTCTTCAACCGTAACTAGGCCGTGTTCTTAGGAGACTACGCCCGTACGCTACTGTATTATCGACCGCCACACTACCGCCGCACGGAAAGATCTGGTCCATCCAGATGCTTGCGTATCACGAAACGCCTGCGAATCGAATCCTCTGCATCCTCTTGTCAATGTGAGGAAAGTGTTCAATTGTCTCTGGGCGCAGTGGGATAATTGCTTGACAACCATAAACAGGCTGACGCCACGGTCATTGCTCACCCCGAGTGGTGGCAGAGGGTAAATCAGGGTCATTGGGGCGCAATTCAGAAAACTACTACCCATGTCATCATGCTGTAAAACGCATATGCAGCCTATAATGGTCGGTAATGCCGCCCCCTTCCCAACACATCAGTGACTCGACAGTCAAAAATTGAAAAAGACCGCCAATGTCAATATTCACTGGTTCTCTGAAAACGATTTGTCGATTAAAAAGAATCAGATTGTCCAGCACGAACATACCGGATGTTTCTCCGGAAAATGACGAACCGCTATCAGAGAAACTTTTATAGAAGCAGGCAGATTACTAAACTGCAGTGCAGTGCACAGGGAACCCATGCACCCATCCTCCTCTGCGAACACTGAAACAGGGAGGCAACAGACTGCAAAACATTCCCTGGTGGTCCTGCGGAGAAACTGACGAAGGAGCCTGACCCAGGCTGTCCATGAAGCGTCGGGCGTCAAGATGGTAGAGCCTTTCAATTTGATGACAGCTATTTAGGGTCAAACCTGCACTAGAGGCATGGATTTACGACCAGTGGACCGGTGACAAGATACTCATCGCTTTTGTAGGGTTCACGCTGTGGACGCTAATAGCTATTGTCCGCAAAGCAACATTCTAACGCGGTAGCTGCGAGACCCTGGAAGAACGCATCGTGATCCATGCTGTCGGGAAAGGGGCACCGGCCGAACCAGGTCACGGCAGGCGCGTCAACAGTGCAAGCTAGCTAGCATCACGATGAGCTGAAGTGGCCCGGAAAGCATGCCAACCAAAACTGGTTTAGTCAGGCTGCAGGCATGGGCTCCCGTGATCCGTGCACACGTCCCAGAACTGCGGTTGAAGGGCGATCCCCCGGGTTGACTTCGTCTGTGTTATTGGATGTTCATTCGTTGCCGGCCGGAGTAATCAGACACAGCCTCCGAAAGGGATGGAGACTGTATGACACGCAATAAGGGGCGGGAGTGATGCTGAAAAAGCCCACGAAAAAGATTAGGGTCTGGCCTCTGGACAGCTTTAATTCGAGCGCATCCAAGAGACCGCCTCAGCACCTCCTCCACCATCCCGGGCAGGCTCGTCTACATCCACGCCTGTCATTGCCTAGTTCCTGATGGTTGTGTAAGCGACGGGAAGCGGGAATAAAAATGTGACTAAAGACGGGAACGATAATCCGCACAAAGTGGTGGTACGTAGTACATTAACACCCACCGGCCCGGTCTGGCACACAGACAAGCACACAGACAAGCACAACAGTCTACAGATAGTGTCTTGGTAAAAGTCCAACTAGGGAACGGAACGGCCTGTTCTGAAAACTCGCGGATCCTCCGGTGAGAGCCGTAAGCTGGACTGACCAACTGTTTTCTCAAACCAAGCTAGCGTCCCGAATGACCGAGACATGCTTCCAACAAGCAATATCAGTTTTCCATACGGTGCACATATATGGATATAGCTTGGCAATCAATACTATGACGTTGTCGCCAAAAGACGCATATCGGCCACTACCTCATCGAGCTAACTTGGAGATGCTTCACCTACTAAACTGAAGACATTCATGGTGGAGGGTACCGTCGTTGTTCTACTTCATTAGTGACCGACAAGGCAATCAGGGACCGGAGGAGCTGGTAAATGAAGGTCGGTATTCCCAATGAATACGTTCTGATGCGCCAATCATCAGCAATATGCAAGTTTGGCCCAAATCCACAAGAACCAAACCCCCTTTCCCCTCTCAACCCACCAGACTGGTTTTGGGCAGTACCTGGGCTCAACACCGCCGCACAATTTCTCCTCTGAAAAGTGAGCGCAAGGCAACGTCTGCGCACAACACGGTTAGCGCTTGTACTGGTGGGGAAGAGAGAGAGAGAGGGAGACAAAATAGAAGAAGAACCTCCCCCCATAACTGTCGTCAAAGTAAACGGAGGTAAGCATCTTTTATGGAATTAAACTTTTGATTTGCATCACTCTCAGTCAAAAAACAAAAAGCTGGTGGTTTAGAATAGCGTCGCTCCAACGAGCCGTCCCGCAAACCATGCCAGAGCGAAAAAAGAGCCACGAACCATACGCTTAGCCGTTTTTTGCCGAATGGAACAATTCCATGCATCGGAAAGCTTATTGAACAGACTTTTCATACGGCGCCAGGGCCTGCAATCAATCCTGTCATCTCCCACCTGATGAAAACCTTTCACGGCTGTAGCTATGTCTGTTGCGCTGCCGCGACAGCATGGGACAAGTTGACAGGGTATGTTCTACTGCGCAACACTGCAGAATCCTACGTGCGTAAGTCGCCTAGGCGCCCGAATCTGGAGCTCGTACTCGCGGTCATGACCGCAATCACTCATTTTCTCCAAAATAATTCTATTATATCAAAGGCGGACCCTCCTACACTCCACCACCATGGCCTGGACTCATTCCAATGGCCCTTTTCGCGGGGCTCCTTCGGGGCCAGCGGTGTTTTCATAATTTGTCTAACGGGTAATTCTGGGGCCACTGAACGAAGGAAATTTTGGACCAGTCCAGGTAAAACAACCGGACATCGGCTAACCGCTACTGAACGGTGCTCCCTATTCAGCCTTACAGCAGTTTGGTTACGGCCGTCAAACCCTGAGCCGCGACTTATCAACCGCAATTTCCTCAAGTGCGTAATTACACCAGCCAACTTGAAGTCGAGCTATCCTTACGGGGCTAGTCCCTAGGCAGTTCAAGTTGAACTTCGCTGAAGGAAGCAGAATGGGGGACACCTTCTTCCTCCGTTGCCGCGCGGCAGCTTGCTTCCACAGAGATGAATGAATAATGAACTTACTTTGGCACTCCTCCACTTCCCGATCGTCCTCGACAACCGACCAAATTCTCATCGGCAACCGCGCTGTCTCCTATTCTGGATCACGGTGGATGCTGCTGCGGCTTTGTGGGTGATTGCAAATTTTCTAATCATCGTCATCACATCTCAACTTTTTTGGCCTTTCCATCCCAAAGTGCCTACCTAACTTGGCTGGGAAAAGCGAGGTCGTGTGGCATGGGTGACAGAATGGGCTTGCTAGGCACCGGGGAAGCAGGGTGGTTGACCCGCTAACCAGGACATGGTTCCTTCGGCTTTCGCAAGCAACGTGGTCCTCCTCGCTGCGAGTGAGTGAGTGAGCATGACCAGGCAAGTTCAGTAAACGGCAAAGAGGTGCGTCATGACTGGTCTAGACCAAGCCCTCCCCATTGCAATTCGACGCCTGCACAGCTCCTCCCCAATAACGAGGAGCCCCTTATTTTCGTAAAGTAGTTTCCAACCTGGGTTCTTTTGTCACTTATCACTCGCCGAGCTGTTCTCCTGACGGCTTCGAATCCACTCCGGAAACAATCAACGACAGGCAGTGCTTTTCGAGAGCTCCTACAGTACGATACTGGAGCAGATCTGATAATGAGAGAACTGGCTTGGTCGGCCGATCGAGATGCGCAAATCACCTCATCAGGCCCTGCCTAACAGAACCTCAACCCGTGGAACCCGTCTATTTCTGGCCACTTTGAAACATGACAATATCGGCATTGCCTCCCCGGCTGACCTACTCGGCCGTTGGGGGAGCCGGCATCCTCCGTTTTTTTGACTCCTCGTTCACATACCGTTGTCAGAACCGCGAAAAGAGTCTGCTTGGCAGGTAACCCAAGCTGGTGACAGCATTGCTGGTGAGCGGGGGAAGACATGACCGAGTGAAGCAAAGAGCCCGGGGGATACTCAGGGTCTAGGGACTTGAGACGGTCCTTTGTGGGCACACTGGGCTGACCTGATTTGTGTTTCCGCACGTACCGAGACTCGATCATTACTTAGCCACGACTGCAAGGGGCAGATTAGGGCTTAAGTTGGGCGCTCGGCCATTCGCGGACGATGTGAACATTTCTTCTTCCAACCTCTCCGCAGATCGATGGTAGCAGTCCTAGTGGGCAGGGAGGGGCTGAGAGCAGATCACGGGAGCCACGACTCAAGTGGCTTGAAATGAAGCTCAGAACGATGAGGATGGGCAAGCGGCTTAGCCTCGCCAAATGCTCACAGTTCTGTGGCGCCTATACTAACAGCACTTGCATTCATACGCTGGTCAGGTGTTCGGAGCTTGCGAGTCCCAGAGCTGCGGCAACCCACCCATGCTCCTTTCTTCTGTTCCTGATCAGATCGTGGCACCGCAGATCTGATTTGAGGCTTCAGAGCGGAAGGCTTGCCACACGCGTCCAATGGGAGGTAATCATGCCGGGTCATCCACATGACCAGGTCCGATCGATTTGTTGATCAGTAGATGGCATGGTGCCAAGAAGAGGTGCCATGAATTCGTTCAATAACTTTTGAGGTTTCCAGGGACTACACCCGACATTGAATTCGACAAGTGTAATCACGATGCATAATCACCATCCATGGGGCGTCGTCACTAACTCCTGGCCTGTCATCCGCGTATGGACGGAACGCCCGACTCAGGTTCATTTATCATGAAGCCGTTATTGAGAAGTGATATGTGGTTTTGTTGAGGGTGGGCGTGGAATACAGAGGTGAGGGTATCCTTGATTAAGAGTCAAGCGGCGTCTGAGCATCCACTAAGGCAGCTGATATGTGAGATCTTTCCGTTCTCTCCGTCCCACTTCAGGGACTGGCCCGCTGGAAGGTTTGGAGGAAAAGGCAGTGGGAGGTCCGGACGTCTCGTCCGATGTATTAGCCGCTGTCGATTGCCCAACCTTGAAGGGATGTCCCTGTATCGAGTGCATCCACCCAGCTCAGTTGACGACATGGGATGGGCGGGTCATGGACGACATGCTTGTGGTTGTTGGGTTGTGGATGGTGGCCCAGCCTCATTCAGTCGCACAGATGGGAATGTTTCATTCTCCAAGCACAAAGGACGATGGGATATCTTAACCTGCCTCTTCTTGCACGTCGCACCCCACCCGGCAGGCAGTATGATCTGCGCACTTGTCCCAACGGAGACCAAGCTGGATCGCTGGGCCAGCTGCGCGGCAGGGGCCAAAGGCTGCAAATACCAGGGCCCAATCCGAAATATCAAAGCACAGTACCCAGCATCCCGGTCGCCTAGAGCAAAGAATGAGAGCCGGGCCCCCGTCAGATCTCGCTTCTGACGCTTCAGCCCACATGGATGGTGCCTGTAACAAGCTGCAGTGGAGCCGGGCCGGGTGCCAGTATGACTGACTTTGCTCGTTGTTTTTTTTTCACTTCTTTCCTCACATTGTGTGCAGGAGAAATGTGATATATGACGAAAAGGCTGAGATCTATCCTTACCAACATATGCAGCTTTTTTCGCAAGCTCTTCCATTTTGATCGCGGCCGTACTTCCCAATCCAGCTCTATTCCCCCGAGCCACTCGATTTCCAGTATTGGGAGCCACTAAAAGCCTACGGATGCATCATTTACAAAATCGAAATCTGACAGGTCACGGAAGCACGATCAACCGACATGGGCGGTCGATCATGTCGTGAGCTCCTCCAGAAGCGCATCTCATGTTCTCCCCAACTCGAAACCCGCCCGGAGTGGGGAGCGGCTTTTTTTTCCCTTTCGCCACGGCTACCATAGCAGATCAAGGAGGAAATATGACCAAGAGGAGACAGGTGGGCGGAGGAGCTTCTAAACGCCAACGTACACGGTCGTCGACCACGGGGCCGGTACCAGGGAACATGTATGCAACGCCAAACGGACTTCTTGCTTGATAGTCTCGAATCGTCAACTGTGACCGACTGCCACATGGTCAGAAAGTTGACAACTTAGTTAGGATCGCTCTGCAGCCTGCTTTGTCAAATCTTGGAACCGACAACGTCCACATCGCTTCCGATCACATTTCCGTCCATCACTCATCTCCATCACCCACGTCCAAAGTTCCCCACCGTCATCAGAGAGAGATCGCGATTGAAGGGCAGCGCATATGCAGATGAGGACTGACAAAGCGACAATCTTGATGCGCGCAAGGCGCTGCAGAAAGATTTTAGCTGGATACATGCGAGGAAACTAGTCGATTATCCCCTCACGCTACCCTTTTTGACGATGTCATCGCGAATGGTCCCGCTTATTGACAGGCTTCTCTGTCAATTCTCTTTTCTTTCTCCTAGTTTAACCCCGGCCGAGCGCGTAAAGCTTTGACATAGCCGAGGGCGTTATCCTGACAACGTTTCCGTCTTTCTTTTTCCCCCTTGTCTCCTGGAGGTCTGTGTTACATGCAACAGGTAAGGCAAGTAAATAGGACAAGACTCCTGGAGATATCGAAAGGGTTGATGGAGACTGTTCGCAACGATTGGGTTCCCTCCCACTATTCTTAGTGTCGCACAGTTCTCTTGTTGCGCATGCGCGGGGAGGGGGGTTCAAGTGCGAGTGTGGAGTTAGTCTGACTGCAAGTAGCGCCGTTTTGTCGTTGCGAGCCCGCCGAGTTCCCGCCCTCGTGGCAACTCAACGATACGTATCGCGGGTATACCTTTATTTTTTAATTTTTTTTTTATAACCCTCTACGCTATCTCTGTGGCATAGTTGTTTTCCCTTGGAAAGTTGTGGTACGGGACTCGAGCACGGGGGACACGGAGTTCCCGCCGCTGAAGGCAATTGGCTACAACTCTGGATCAGGTTCATATCAGATGACCCACGCTTGTGTATGTCGCAGGCCTCACAGGCACCAACGGCGGCACGGTGTTCAGAAAAGAGAAGCTCCTTTTTAACTGGACTACGCTGCGAAACTGGAAGTAGCCAGTACACTGTACGCAGGCATTCTGGGGTGAGTATATGGGGACGCGGAGTAGGGGTGATGCTTGTTCGACGCCGCCCAGCTCGACATCGAACGTCCCAGCGTGGAGCTACCAGGACGACACACCCCCTACGGAGCACAGCGGCAGTTTTGCCACGCTAGAGGCTGGACCCCTATGACGGCTCTATTTGATTCGTTCCGGAGGGGAGTGGGCAAGGGAGAAGGGAGCATTGCGAAATCCAGCCCGTCACTATATCGTGAATGGCTGGGGTTGGGCAGATCGGAATTGCGACTGGTCTGGCAGCCGATATCGTTACCAAGCATTCCTCGCCCACCCCAGGTTGGGGCTACTCTGGAGCAAGAGGAAGTGAGGAGAAGGAAACGAGGAGCAGGGACAAAGTTGCACCTGCGTCGCCCTGGGTTAGGTGGTTTCCCCCCCTCGCATCTCACCTTTCTCAAAATCTCCTAGAGTCTCTGGTCCGGGTGGCTCACCGCGGGACTTCGGATCAGCGCCGTTGAACATACCAATGTATGTCGTACCCCGCGGCTGTCTTTTTTTTTTTTCCTTTCCTGGCATTAGAGACCTTGTTGCAGTTTGACATTTCCTTCTTTCTTGAATGTCTCTCTGTTAGATGTCTCTTCCTGTTGAACATGTCTTTTACATGTCTTGAAATGCACCCGAGCAGATATACCCAAAGATGGGCAAAGGCGCGGGGGGAAGGGGGGACATGAGGAATGAATAGAGAGCCAAAGTGTGTGCGCGTGTCTGAGATCGGAGCTGGAATGTTTGACTCATACATCGGAGCGGTGCAAATTCTTCCAGCTGGCAAGCCTTGATTGGGAGACGTTTACTATCTGCTGTGCTGAGGGCAAAGTTTCTGCGCCATGTCCCCTTTCTCTTTCTATCTCCCCTCCCCCTCCCCCTCTCTCTCTCACCTCTCACACATACACTCTCCTCTTGTGTCTCTTCTCCACCACTGCCAGGAGGTCCTGGTCATCTCACGGACGCTGACGGCAGAGTGAAGGTTCCCACAACTCACCATGACGATGTAAAAGTGGTGCGACCCAAAGAGTCTTTACGTCCCCCAGATCTTGTGAGATGTGACAGGTTCAGCTGGATGTCGTGTACTCCTGACGGATGAATTTTGACAGTTGCCGTGAGATCCTGCACCTACCCCTCCCTACAATGCAGGTCAGTGCCAAGGAAGTAACAGTTGATATATGTGTGTGACAGAAGAAGTGTCTAGATTTTTCCCTGGCGCCGACCTTTTTTTTTTTCCCCTTCCCCTGGACGCTTCCGAAGCGGCGTCCTTGTGATCTTTAGATGGCCCGGGTATGTAATGCGGCTTTCCGAGAGATGGTGCCTTTTTAGGAGGGTTACAGTGGGGGGGTGCGGGTTCCCGGATGTGAGGAGAGTTGAGGTGAGTAAAGCCTGCGCAGCCATGGCGCTCGGGGGACCCGGGAGGGAATGAGCCGATGGGGTGTGTGTGTGTGTGTGTGTGTGTGTGCTGTCTAAGTGAGGTGACATCTCTCTGCTGAGTACTATGTATTGTGTAGTAAGTGAGTGGGTAAGGTGGTTTGGTAGGCAGTCCCAGTGCGTGCTACTGCCGAGGTGTTTCTGATGTGAGGAGGAAGAGGGGGAGGTGGTCTCACACACGGGGCGAGAAGAGGTGCGATTTTGGTGAATCTCTGTCTCGGGCTGGAGGCTGTGCCCGCCTCGGAGCGCGGGATGGTAGGGAAAGGAAAAAAAAAAAAAAAAAAGAGGAGGAAGCTGTTCTGCTGGGCTTGAGCGAATCGCAATAGCCGCTGAAGTCACCGGTCCTAGTCTGTACAACGCTGGAAGATGGGTATATGAACTTTGAGAGGCCTCGGTGGAGCTTGGGGGTTAAGCCAAGTTGGAAAATGTGAAAAGTGGTCAGCTGAGGTTGTTCACGGCTTCCCCCCCTGAATCCAGGCCTTTTTTGTCGGCTCATCGCTGATGACGACGACGACGACGACGGCGACGACAGCGACTCGATGGTGATGACGATGATGATGATGATGATGATGTTGATGAGATAATTCACTCGAAACCTCCCCACAGAGCAAAGAGTCAAGATTGATGAGTCAAGAGACAATGAAGCCCGGTGCCGTAATTCGGGGACCTTTTGGCGACGTGATTTCCCAAGTCCTCGGGGACCGAGTCTCAATGGCGGTGGCCATGCTAACACGCGTTTTCCGGATACCGAGGCTCAGGAGTGTGTTAAGTCATGTTTCGTCAAAAACAAAAGACCCGGATGTGAGATTTCAAGGGTCCTCGAAGAAAAAGGGGTTTCCGACTGAAACGAGGTTCCTCCTCCGAGAAAGAGAGTGGACATATTAAGGGTTCAACACTGTTTCTCCGTGATTTTCTGGGGTTTCTGTCTGTGGGCTTGTTTATTTTTTTTATTTTGATTTTCATCTTAAACCCTTTCTTTCTTTCCTGCTGATGATCACTTCGCCTCAATCGGTTCTAGATGGGGGGACGTTTTTGACCAAACTTGGAAAACGGTTGTTATGACTAGCTTGGAAACACGGGGAACCCGGGTTCTCCTTTATTTCGCTCAATAATGGTCTAATTTGAACCCACTCGCGAGTGACCCAATGGTTGTTGATGAACAGCTCCTTGTCCTCGTTCCACGTCCTTTCGATCGGACGCCATCCCATCTTGATGAGCTACGAGGCTGGTGGGTAGCCCGGACAGATTCCTTGAAAATCACGGATACAGCATAGAACATCTCGATCGTGCCTCTCGCGAGCAGGATCCAGGGCTGGTGGCAGTCGTCTTGGAGGAGGATGTAACTGCCGTCGACGTAGTTGGCATACCATGGCTGTTTTTTTTCGCACCCCTCGCTGGATCTTCAAAGCTTACTCCCTGGAATGGCCAAGCTGAGCTCCCGGTGATAATCTACGTGGATCAGTTTCCCACAAGAGACGTTATCACGGGACCTCAACATCTCTCCAGAGAGTCTGCAACGTAGCTGGAAAAGGTTTTCCTTTGCTCGCCGTTCTCTTTCTGCGTCATATCAGTTGAAACATCTCCAAGGCAGGACCCTCCCCCCCCCTTTGGGTTTCTCCCTCTCATCAGAGGAACAACAGGGCGAATATCGAGACAAAAGTCTTTCCAGGGTTAATCACGACCTTCCACGGGTGTCCTGGAGCTGGTGCCGTCAGCCAGTCGGTTCAGCACCAGACCCGGAGCTTTCCCCGCAAGCCACATTAGGGACTACTTGTTGCGGTTGCGACGACAACTGAGTCTAGGCCCTCGAATGATTTCCTCCAAACAATGGCTGGCTGGATGCCGCTGCGTCTTTAGGCTTGGCGAGGCTGGAGGATAGGATTGCAATAAGTTTGTCTAGACTGTGTAGCACAAGCAGAATGAAGTGCTAGATCGATGAAGGGGGTCGATATGAACCTGCTAAGTGGATGGTGCTGGCATGTCGATTTATGAGGTTCGTGCGGTCTTCAACTGCCGGCTCTACATATTTTACATAGTCTTGCGATCATGATTTGATATCCAAGAGGTAGAGATACTTTCATTATGCTGGCCTGATGGAAATTGCTGCTGAAAAAGGCAGACCAGACTGAAGCCCAGAGCTGCTAGATAGCTGGGCCAGCCGGGTCCTCGTCCCTCTTACTGTTCTCACAGTACTTCGGACTGATACATCGACGGAAGGGATTCTTGGCTTCTAAGGTTGGACAAAGCATATGCCCGTGCCCGTGGTGGTGTTGCGATCACGATCAGGGAACGTCGGATATCGGAAACCAGGTAAGCAAGAACAGGTCGACACCGCTCGCCATTAACACATGGCCGCAAGGACAACACGATCGCACGGGAGAACAGACCAGACATTCAGAGCCCCGTGCACTGAGGTTTGCCCAAGAATTCATGGAGCCATGCTCCGATGATACAGAATAAGAAAAAATTCTGGTCCCAGGCAGAGCGATCAATGCCTGCTGATGATCAGACGACGAATTCGGGCCTAACAAAGTTCACAACGCCAAGGTACATGAGGTTCAGAAAGTGGTCTATATTCTAACACTAATCATTACAATTATTCTGCCCAGTGCGGCAGATAAAACTTGACATTTTCGTACACGAGGAACGTGACCCACGTAGCAGGCATTACCCTCACCACTCCTGGCATCAGGCCGCGGTAGAAGCCCCTGAATCCCTCTTCCTGCCATATCCTCCTGACCACTCCTCTGATTCCACGCCCAAACCGCTCGTCAGCGTCGTAGTTTTGTAATCTGCTCCGTAACACTTGGTAGGGGTAAGTTACGGCACCTGCCACCAGTTTCGAAACACTCGAAATGACCACCGTCGCCTCGTTGCTCAACCTCCCTTCGTTGTCGCCCTTCTGCCTTCTACCCGCGAAGTACACCTGTTTCGCAGGCTCATACACGGCAAACTGCACGGCGCCATGTGAAACGCCGATGAGGCTCACGCCGAGGCCACGGTAGAAGCCCCTCAAGCCCTCGGAGCGATACAGCTGGCGCGCACCGGACCACATGTTCGTATAAGCACCCGCGGCAGTGCGATCAGAGGACAGCATACGGGTCTTTAGCACCCACACGGGGTTTGTGAGAACTTGCGTAAGAGCGCCGGCAAGGGCAGATGAGATGAAGAAGTCCTGCGAGGAGAGAACGTCCTTTGTGGAACTTCGCGCATCTGCGCCTGAGCCGCGGGAGGTTGGCAGCGGCCCGGCTTTCCAGTAGGCGATGGCGCGCTCAACGCGGTTCTTGAAGAAGAAGAAGGCGGACCAGCTTGATGCGTTGCCGATCAGGTTCGGCGTCAGACCGCGGTAGAGCGAGGCGATGGGGTGAGGGTTCTGCGTGAGGCTACGGATGAGTGACATTGTCGTCAGTGAGACTGACGGGTTGGCGGCGCTTCGATGAACTTTGGTTATGTTAGAAGAACTCAAGTATCGAAGAAAAGTTTAAAATCAAGATATTTCGACTCACTTTGCATCCGCGTCTTGACGATATCAAGCGGATGAACTACCAGAGTCGCGACCGAGCCGGCCGAGAGTCCGGCGACGGACTCGACGAGCGCGGGAGAGAGGCCCGCATGTTTGCTGTCTGACATAGAAACGAGACTCTTGGTCACATTGCAATCTTCGGATTTCACCGTGCCTCGTGCACACTTTTCATGCGAGCTCTTGATGAGAACGAAGTCGAGAGCTCAAGTGAAGCTTTGGTGTGGCTGATGCCCCAGCTTACAAAAAATTGCTACGTCATTTTAGCTTATAAAATTGCGGCTCCGCAACGGGCCCCTTAGAGCTCCAGCCACAACCGCCTCCTTTGCCTGCTCATGGTGACGAGAGAACAAGACGTCAATGACTTCCGATGCATGATGAATTTGCTCTTACTGGGTGCGACCGTCATCATCGCGAATCATTGGCACAGCTCACACGTGGTCACCAGGACTAGTGGCTTGAGAGCCGCTTTGAGGAGCCAAAGTGAGATGTTACAATCCTCAGTTTACATCATCATCCTTCAACCAGTTTTGGCGTGATTATGACTTCCGAACACCGCTTTACTGCCTGCAAGCAGTTTTAAGTCTAGAGTACGGTTGCCGTTGCCGCCTCTGGCTGGAGGCATGCTGGACATCCTTCGGGCCAAGATCGTAAGAGGATTACTTTAATGACTGATGCCATTGAATACCATTTCGCGCCGCAAAGGAGCTTGTGTCGTCAGAGAGGTTTCATTTGATTACATATCTAGTTGTACAGTTCGTTGAGGTCGTGACCTCCACCTCCCTGGTCCTCCATACCCGGGATCCAATGTCTCAACCCTGAAATGTCGGCTTGCCTGAAGGTAATTCCGAAAGCCTTTTTATAGTACATGAAGTCGATGCTGAGGCGCGTGGTATCTAAGAAAGGGGGGAGAGGAGGCTGCGATGAGTTAGCTAGCGGGCTCAACAAACAACACTTTGCTAATGCAACGTACCGGATGAAAGGCGGGCGGGGCTCGCTGCGAGTGTAGCCTACAGCCATCATGTTAGTATTCAAGTCGCTTAGCATTTACGAGATTCAAGGCGTTGTCCGTACCGAGGTAGAGGACTAGGGGAAGGTAGCCACTGCGAATTGTTAGCAACGTGCATATGACGAAGGGTAATGATGGAGACTCACTAGTGAATGGCGATGCGGGAGATCTCAATGATCTTGCCGATGCGCTCCTGTGGATGAAGTGGTGAGCTTCTGCTTGATGCGACAGCTTGCGGACTACCTGTAGACATCATCGTACCTTGGACTCTTCGGAGAGGGCGAACATCTTGACGGATTGGATGCAGTGACAGAGATATGGATTCGACTAGACTTTCCGATCAATGCTTGATGATCCTGTTCGCCGGGGTTCGCGGTTTCTCGTCGTCGTCGTGCGTCTGGACGGGCGAGGGTGGATGCGCTGGAAGCTGAGCCTGAACTTTTTCTCAACTAGCCGGAAAAATCGTGACGATTAGTGGAGCCGGAACAACCACGCAAGCTTTCTTATCGGACCTTGAACTACGATAAGGTACGTACCTTTGGCAGCTCGACCGCGTCCAGACGTCGGCCAAAATTTCCAGGCAGTCTGCTGAAGGCTGGACACGGCTACGACACTCGCCTCATACAAGCACACATCTAGCGACGCCATTTTTCTTTTGGAATCTCTGTCGCTTGAATCGCACGAAAGTGTCCCAACGACAAAATGGCGCAAAACAGGCATTGGTGCGTTTCAATCCCTCTGGTCCGCAGCAGAAGCTAACCACTCGATTTAGGGAACAAGACAAAGATGCGACTATCTACATCGGTAACATCGACGAACGTGCGAGCCCGGCGATGATATACGAAATCATGCTGCAGATGGGCCCTATTCACAACATTCACATGCCGCGCGATCGTGTGACTCAGAACCACCAGGGCTTCGGTTTCGTCGAGTTCCGTACCCCAGGCGACGCGGAATATGCTGCCAACGTAATGAACGGCATTAAACTATACGGCAAGTCACTGCGCGTCAACAAAGCCAGCGCAGACAAGCAGAAGCAAGCTGAGGTCGGCGCCGAGCTATTCGTTGGTAACTTGGACCCCATGGTCGACGAGAAGATCCTCTACGACACTTTCTCGCGCTTCGGCCCCCTCATCAGTCTGCCCAAGGTCGCGAGAGAGGACAGCGGCAACTCCAAGGGCTTTGGTTTCATTTCTTACGCCGACTTCGAGAGTTCTGATGCAGCGATCGCCAACTTGCACGGACAGTATATTCTCAGCAAGGAGGTGTCTGTCCAGTATGCCTTCAAGAAGGACGGTAAGGGTGAGAGGCATGGTGACAAGGCCGAGCGTGAGCTGGCTGCACAGGCGAAGAAGAGGAACATCGTCCCCGAGATCCAAGCGGTCCCACCAGCCTTCTTGATGAACGGCAACGGCCCGCCAGCTGGCGGCGTACCTGCTGCTCCTGCTGGTTTCGACCCCGCAAGCGGCCTGCCAGTCCCAGTCCCTACTCCCGGAGCCCCCGCCGGTTTCGCACCCCCACGAGGACCTGCACAGTACAACGCGGTACCAGCGCCTCCGAACCTGGGCGGTCCTGGTATGGGACGCGGTACGGTTCTCCCGCCTGCACCGTCTGGTTTGCCTGCGCGCCCTCCCCAAGTCCAGAGCGGCTACACCAACCCCGCCGATTTCCACCCCGGGGCCCCTGGCTTCCGCCCACCCAGCGGCGGCCCCCCTCCTCAAGGCTTTGCGGCGCCTCCGCCTAACTTTCCCGTTCCTCCTCCAGGACAAACCGGAACGCCCCCAGCTCCTCCTGGATTCATGCCGCCTCCGGGCTTCAACCCTCCTGGTTTTCCTAGGCGATGAAAGGTCAAAGAAGGGAATCCATCACTCGGTCCAGTACTCGGAAACCAGATAGGGCACATCACTTGAATACGGAGCAGGGCGTTAAAGGATAAGGGCATTACAGGAGTTGTTTCAATAACAGGTTGAAAAGATTGCAATGGTCTGTCGTCACTGTGAACGGACGGGTTCAACCATTGCTAACATTTGTTCAGACACACTTTGAGCTGTCACAATTACCATCGTATTCTGGAAAGAGCTTGCAATGCTAAGGGAGTCAACTTTACATTCGTGAGAAGCATAGTCTTATCAAGCGAAAGGTACCAAGCGGCTCGAAAAACCTTAGTCACAAGGGCCCTGCGATGAAATGGAAATTCGCTTCCGCCCATAGCCATAATGAATATATGCCATCTGTGTACTTGAATTACACAGCAAATCTCAATCTTGATGTCGTCTGGCCAACTTCGGTGATGTCTTTGCGAGTACATCCACTTGATTTTGACATGTTTTGTCTCATGCGAAAGACCAACAACAACAACGTAATGTCCCTCACTACTTTATAATTAGATTCATAATCGTATTTTCTTTGTGCACAGAGTATGTAGCATCTCCCCTCATGAGCTATATAGCAATGGGTATACTTATTCCCAGAGATATCTAAATGACCAATTTAGTCGGTTGCGCCACACGGTCATGCAAGATGAAAGGAAGGATTCGTCAGAGATGAATAGCCAGGATACGTCGTCAAGTCCTGAGCTTCTATTTTTACAAGTGATTATATACAGTCGGTTACATGGTATTTTACAATATTTTATATCGTTCATGAGTCTTTGCTCGCCGGCTTCTCGCCATCCGCACCTTGGCCCTTTTGTTTCTTATTCTCTGGCGTCTCCTCCGGAGGCGGCGTCCACTGGTCCTTGTAGCCAAAGGCTTCCTCCCACGTCATGGGCTCGTCTCTACCGACGACATAGACAGGCGCTTTCTTGGCCAACTGGTCCATCTTCGCGCGATACTTGCGGCCGTTGTCGCTCATTGACTTCAGTTTGCCGCTGAACATACTGTACCACTGCTCCTCCCTATCGTCGTCTCCCTTGCTGAGCGCCTTCCGTCGTCTCGCCTTGACTGCTTTGTATATCCTCTGCGCCCGTTCTTCCGGTAGTTCCTCAAGGGAATACTCTAGAGACCAAGACCACCAATCATGATTGCTGCTCGGCCGCACCACATCCTGTCCGTTGACCTTGTTCCGCACCGTCAGGTGCATTCCAATGATTTCATCGTCAGAACCCTCCTCTGCTTCCGCCGCTGCTTCCGCTTCCTTTGTTTCCTGGCCTGCCGTTTGGCTTTCCGAGGTCTTGTCTGTCTTTGGTGACGTTGCCGGTCGTTCGACAGCCTGTCCTGAATCCTCGGTAGATGGCACAGATGCATCTCCAACCTCTGACGCTGCCGTAGTAGTCGAGTCGCCTGCGGATTCTTTCGACTTGGCCACAAGTTCGGACAGAATTCTTCCAAAAGTGCGAAGCTTCGAAACATCAGATACAGTCTCTTCTTCAGCTCTCTCGACCTCCTCGAGCTCGGGCTTCTCATCTACGCTTGTGGCTAGGCGCAGAATGAGCTCTTTGAGACCAGTATCGCGAAGGCTACGTGCCTCAGAGTCCTGCTTCTTCACACTTGCGGAAGATGGCTCACCCGACTCCTGCAACATCTGCGCTTCAGTTGCCTCAGCGTTCACTCGGGCTACATCGCTGAGTGTTCCGTCGCTGGCAGTCGGTTTCTCCTCTTCCGCAACGCTTAGCTCGCCTCCCTCGCCAACCTTGAATGCCAAAGTACCAGTCTCAACGTTTGCTGCGTCAGACCTCTGAAGGTCTTCCGCATCGTTGTCTGTTTGATTGCGAGTGAGAGCTTCAAGCAAGGCGTCAACATAACCTCGGGCTTCCTCCTGAGTCCTCGCTTTCAGCAGCCCGCTCTGCTTGAGGGCATCTTGAATTGCCTCGCGAACATGGTCAACACCGAGAGCATCGTCTTCAATCGCCGCTTCCACTTTCTCCTGCATTTCCTCCCAGAAAGCCTGGGTCTGCCGCTGCTGGTTCCTGGTCTCATCTACACCAACGGCGTCTTGCTCCTCGCTGGCTGGCTGCTCAGCCTCCGAATCGGCATCTTCAGCCTCCAACCCTGTAGACTGGCTACTCGCTTCCTCTTCGACGAGGCCGAGCATCTTCCTCTCGTACTCGGCAATCTTCACCTGCTGAGTAGATTGAATCTTCTCAATCTCCTCTGGCGTAACAGGCTTTGCGAAGATATACATGAGTGGGGGGTCGGTTGGTCGAGTTTCAATGTGAAGGCGAATGGATCGGCCAGGGAATCGAGCAGTGGCACGGTCAAGAACCTTGTTCAGTAAGTGCAGACTTAGCTTGAACTCTAGGTCACCAAGAGCTCGGTTATCGGTTCCATGAAGGGCCAGATCCATCTCATTGATGCTCAAGTATTGGAATCCAAAAATACGTTGTGTGTTGTGATAGGCGACAAAGATGCCGTCCATTCGTCCCATACGTACTTGCAGAGAGTACTTGAGCATGGTGGACCTGATCATATCATAGTATTCGCGCTCAAAAGATTCCCATTGTCCGAATCGCTTGCGAATTTCGTAGCCAAGTCCTTTCTGGTATCCCTGCGCATCCATACGAATGGAGACCACAGATCTTGTCTTTAGATCAAACATGCCAGTACCAGGCAAGCGTGGATCATAAGCGTCCAGTTGAGAACGCATGAGGAAGTCTCCCATAGTCGTGAAATGAAAGGCCTCTTCGGCATTGCGCTCTTCCTCCGAGATTTGATCTGAGTTCTTTCGTCGATACCTCTCAAATTCGTCTCTTGACACCGTCAAAAGCTTTTCCATAGACTTTCCCAGCATGCTTAAAATGCTTCCAAAGTCGTACTCTTTGTCGGCATCAATGGCATAAACCCCATCACGAAGATGAAGGAACGTAGCTGATGGAGCCCTCATAATTTGGGTAAACTTTTCGGAATCCGCGTTGAATTGCTTGCTCATGGTTGATGCGTTAATCGGGCGCCAAGCAGAGAGTAAGAAATGGAAATGTGATAGCATTGCGGTCATGCTAGATGTTGATCCTGAATACTTCTTGCCTAGCTTAGAAGCAAGTGCGAATAAAGTGGTATCTTTCGACGACGTGACATACTTCTTGAGCGCATTGAAGTCGAACTCGTTGATCGGCATAATGTTCGCTAGGTACGGGTCGAAGTTGTAGACCTTGGAGTGCGGATCTTGCATGTGGTAAACTCCAGGGTTGAACAGGGCTCTGTCCAGTCCATAGGATAACCTTGGCACTTCAGGCATATCCGGAATCTCAATAGGCGTTAGCTCGAGGCTATTCCCTTGTATAGTCTGGACATTTAGCGGTACGGCCGGGGCTTTGCTCTTCCTCTTTGGCTTTGGGGCGGTTCCTGGGTCGGTTGATGCCGCTTTGGATGAGCTGGCAGCACCTACCGCAGACGCACCCGCGGCGACTGCAGCCGCAAAAGCAGGCACCTTAGCGCCGCGACCCATGCGACCTGCCAAAGTTGTCCAACTCTCAGCCTTCGGACTTTCGTCTTCGGACACGCCAAGCTCTTTTGATTGCTTGGAAGCATCCTTGGATGTCTCCGTAGGTGCCTCTGTAGACGTCTCCGCAGAGGCCTCCGTGGGTGCCTCCTTAGACGCCTCCTTAGTTGCCTCCTTAGATGTTGTCTTTGAAGCCTTCTTCGAGGAGGGTTTTGTCTCTGTAGTCTTAGCCTGTGTGGCATCGGTTGACTTTGGTGACGATGTTGCGCCCTTCGACTTCTTTGCTGGTTTTGCATCGGCGGCCTTCGGCGGGGATTCCGTAGTACTCTGTCGTTTCGTCAGGCTATCCAGAGGGATCTGTTGGGTATTCAGGACATTCTTCAGGACATCCAAAGTGCCATTGAGTATTTTGAGTCTAGTCCCAAGCTTTTCTGTCTGACGTTTGAGTGGCTGGTCGTGCTTTCGCGGAGCGTCGTCTTGCGCAGTGGTCTTTTTCAAGGCTTCCTCTTGCAGATCTGTCAACCTTGTGTTGATGGAGGCGTAGCTGCCTTCGATTCTCTTCAAGGACTCGAATACATGTTTGATAACGTCGGGGCCAACAAGCTCTTCAGGTTTTGCTTGTTCATCTGTCTCGGGGTCCTCCTTTAGCGCATTGGGCGATTTCGTTTTCTTTTTCTTCGGCTTTGGCACAGTTACGGATTTTGCTCGAGGCCGGCGAGGAGATCTTCCGCGTGAAGTCTGGTCGGTCTTCTGTTCGGGCTGCTTCGTGTTCGCAGTCTCGGGAGCAGCTGGTGCTTTCGCATCGTCTGAGTAGGCTCGGCCGCGCGCGATGGCGACGCTCTGAAAAGAGGGCTGCGATCTACATGATCTACATGATACGCAAACATACGGAGTCTTAAGATTTTGGAGACGGAGGCGGTTCGCACGAAACATGGCAAGAAATGTTGAAATCCCCAAGGCGCAACGGGGGGTTGTGCATGATGGAAGTGGGTTAGAAGCTGTTAGTCAATTTTTTTTTGTGCTGGTCAGTAGCTCCTGCAGAGGACGCGGTACATCTGCTTAACGCGACCAGGGGCGACTGGTCTGTGCTGGGTGGCCTTAATTACTGTTCATCCATATACGTACCGCTCCACATCTAACGTCACTCTTAAATGAGTAGGTCAATGACACAGATATATTTCTTGAACCGTTTCTCTTGCAATCATCACGTTTTAATCACGGGGCTAGACGGCCTACCGTTTACCAGTAGCCGTCTCTTACCCGGCAGCTAACACATGGGGTATTATGCTTTCCCAAACAACCACCAGCTCATGCCAGACCAGATACCGTTCCAGACGCCTTGTCCTATGCCCCGAACCACAAACCAAGCTCACTTGGGCTCACTCCTTGCCTGTCAACGCGTATGACGCATATTCCGTTGCTGTTTGGCGCGCTGCTTCTGCGTCCGCAAATAATGCCTGGACTTCGAAAGAATCGGCCAACATGCCATCCGCAACACTCATCCAGAGCAAGTTCCCACTCCGCTTTGCCTGCGTAGAGGCTGCTCTCGCGCTCTTAAGAGCCTGTTCGCCAACAACGTTATCAAACAGCTTATACCGCATAATGCTCAGGGCAATAGCCAAGCAATGTGTATTGCCTGTCACCTTTGAACCATTCAACGAGTTTGTTATGCTGGTCTTAATCTGATGCATCGATGGAGGTGGACTGGTGTGTGCTGTCGCTTGAACGAGGTTGAACGCAGTTCGAATGTCCGGATCTTGATGTTCAATGCAGATTGGTCGCAACGTATCCAGAAGATTAGTAGACGTGATTGGATCTTGATACGACAGATCTTGCAGAATCCATAATCGGTTCAGAGCGGCAAGTATGCACAATTCCAACTTCGCAGGTTTTCTGCCACCAAAGCCTCCTTGGCCCGCAGTGATGCTCAGTCGTTCATCTTCAAACAGAATAAGAGCTGTTTCCAGATCACCAGTGCCTTGGTGATAAACTCCTGAAAGATAGAGCGAGAACAGGTTGAAAATGTCGTTAACAGCAGGTGTGATGGCCTGCTGAAGTTGTGCGACGCACTGCTCAACCTTGGACCATTGACTGTGAGTTGCGAAGTACAACCCGGTAAGAACTTGCAAGTAACAGAATATTTCCGTCCTCCACTTGGCACTCTCAATGGACTGCTGAAGCGATGATCCAGAAATATTAGGTGCTACTTCTTTGTTCCCTGGAAACAAGTTAGCGGCGTTGTTGTGTAAAATTTTATACACAGACTCACACTTGGCCAACACTTCAAACCCTTCCTTCCAGAACTCATGACTTCTTCTAGACTCTGAGCCGGGCCTATACATGCCGGCCAGACCGCTGAAAGTATATCTGTAACAACTTAGTAAATATGGTCGATACATGTATATACATGTGCCACGGGACTCACGTCAAAACAATAATTTCCAATTTGTTTAGGAAAGTCATCACCACGTAATCATGCTCTGAAGACCCTGCTCGAAGAATCGCATTTGTGTCGTCGCTAATGGTGGCGGACGTAGCTGAGTGTTTATGAATTGGAATAAGAATCTCGGGATTCAAGTCGCTCCCATTCGAAGAGCCTATACTCTCGTCCAACTTTGATTGCAAAGCCTTGAGTTTGTGAATTAAAATGTCTGGAGTCTTTTGGTGCATGCTGCAGGCGAGATCCAGAAGCAGAGTTAAGATATCTAACTGCGGTATTTGTACTGACGGATCGAGTTGATACTTCGTGGCCTGAGCTAGGCACGTTTGCACACGCTCAATGGTGTCTGGTCGAATTGTTCTAAGCACAGACAAACCTTCAAGAAGGGATGCGAAAACAACCATAGCATGGTCATTTCTTTCGCTAGCCAGAACGGCGATGGCTCGAAGGTTCTCTAGAACAGCGGCATCAGGTGGACTGCCAGCATGGACATGGAATGTAGCCTTCAGCAGGCGAAAGGCGTAAACCCATTGGTAATGTTTGAATCTAATGCAATGAGTCAGTACATCGTCGAGGCCACGATCAGCAGTGATAATGGGACACACGTGAGGCAGTCGGATATGTTTTTGTCAATCGCAATGAAAGCGGCTTTCTGATTCCGTTGAAAAAGTACTTTGAGCAACAGGTATTGCATACAGTACTTAAGGTCGGCATATCTATGCTTGTGGGGAGTCAGTACCGTGCAGGGATTGTATGGCTTCCAGTTTCAACTAACCTTCTCGCAAATAGTGATGCCCTTGCTGAGTGCCGTCTCGGCCTCTTGTAAGTTCTCAGTCTCGTCACAGAGAATCGATGCGTATCTCAGTCGTGCTCTAGCCTCCTGTCTAGGTGACAATCGATTGCTCTGAAAAGCGGCCTCCAGGCAAGCCAGTCCGGTGGTTATCAGCTTTTGATATTCGCGCACTTGTTCCTCGGCCAGCGACGCAGCAACCTTTTGCACGCCACGCTTTGCCTTGTCGAAGCACTCTTCGGCCACATGTATAAGAATTGCAGTCGTATCGTACGACCTCGCTTTCGTAGAGAGAGCTGGCGAACCCCTCGATGATACAGCTGGCGAATTCATTGATGATATTGCTGGCGATTTCCTTGCTAGACTAGGAGACCTAGCCGGCTGGACGACAGGAGAGTTCGCGTGGTTCGGCTCGGGACTCAGCTGTACCTGAGAAGGTTCGACGAAGGTTTGGTTCATGACTGGTACACTCGGACTGTGACCCATAGCCGGTTGCGAATACTGGGCATATTGAGGGGCTGGCTGCGGGGGTTGAACGTGCTGCTGACGCGGTGACTGTTGAACCTGAGGTCGTGGCTGCGGATGAATTGGTTGTTGGAAATGCGGCTGATATTGGGGCTGTTGGTGCAGTTGATGCGGCGGTTGCGGCTGGTATTCGGTATACGTTGGTGTCGGCGGTGTCGGCGCGGGTGCGACAGCAAGGGCGGGTGACCGTATGGCTTGGGTATTCTGAGGAAACGAAGCGTGAGGGATATGAGGAGACACAAAAGGCGAGTTCATCACATTGCTGTGGACGAAGGGTTGTTGGGTCTGGTGGTGGGGGTAATGCGGCAGTGGCGCCGGCTGCTGGTGCTGCTGCTGCGGGAAGTTGCCGCCGTAAGTAGGATACTGTCCATAGCCGTTCGCATGCATATTCATCGGCGCAGGAACAGGAGGGATGGCGGAGGTAGGAACGGGCGATGGATGGAAGTTGCCGTGAGGTGTTGGCGCCTGCCCGATGCCGCCATACGCAGCATTCGGATAGGGTGGGTTCGGTCCGTTGGGGTTGCCATTGCTGTTGCCATTGCCGTAAGGGTCGCTGTACGTCTGGGGAAGGTGCTGCTGGCCATTAAAGGCCTGCCCCGAAGGCAATGAGCCCCGGTATGTCATCTTTGGGACTTCATAGGGAGCGCAGGCGTCAATACAAACAGTTTTGATGGCCGCTTTGTTGAATCGACTGGGCAGATTGTTGCGACGCGGTTGCTGTCCAATGGTTTCCGTCTGCAGGTCGCGAGGCTCACATCAGAGACGACTGGTTGGGACATCACCCCTGTATACCTTACATAATTCCACGTGCCGGGGGACAGAGCCCACCGAAGCGAAACGGTGGGTCGCGGAGCGGTGCACGGGGCACCCGACACATCCACGCCGAACTTCGAATTTGAACCCGGTCTAGAATGGATCAGGTATCCATCGATTAGTTGTCCTGGACATATTAAAATCACAACCACGCTGATGAAAGTTTTAAAGGGAGGGATCCGGACCCCAAATCTGCGAGCCCTGCAAGATGTGGTAAGGGGTGGCTGAGCACAGGACACCGGACCTTTGAGACTCGCCGCCTTACAGACACGGCGCCGGGGTACATTTACGATTGTCCAGTGAATGGGCTCAGGCGGCACATTTTGATTGGGTGGTAATAACTCGTGCCTCGGCTCAAGTGAGCTGCCACTTTCCAGGCTCTTCCTCTACTGCACATAGTACCACTAGTTTTTGCCCACCCCATTCCCACTCTCTTGGAACTGTGTCATTGTAACTACATAGGACCGAATCCCTTTTCTGTACGACGGGCAATCGGTGAACCCAGTGCCGATCTACCAAACATAGCGCACGACAAGTTCATTGGCGCCCTTCGGTGCAGTCCAAAAAAGACATGTTCTCCGGTCGCCTCTCTGCCGCGGTTGGTGTTTGTTGGTGTTTGTTGCGGAGGTCGCAAACATGGTACGGGGGCCCTTGGGGGTTTTTGGGGGCTCCACCGCCATGACTTATGTCTCCTCTGTCCATATTTCACATGGTGCATGTGTTTGACTTTTGATGAAATCTCAACTTCATCCCTCTTCTCTGACAAAGTGTTTTGCGCTTCACGTGTTCAGTTTCGTTCTCTAGTTCTTGTGCTGTCGCTGTAATAAAATTTGACACCCTCGCGGCGCCACCTTCGTCACCAACGCCATCCTTTCTTAATCCAACCTGTTCCGAACACTCCTTGCCCGAAAGCTCCGAATCATGGAGTGGATTGGCAGAGCCAAAATCAACTTCACGCATTCGCCGTCACCAGTAGGCCTTCAGGAGAAAGATGGCTCCAAAACCGATCTGCTCAAGGTCTGCGAAAAGGTCACACCGCCATGCCAGATGAACCCGCTTCTTTTAAACGGCCACCTGCAGACTATGTGGACAGCCACCAAGCAACACGGCCCTCCCGTCTACTATCGACGTAAAGTTTTCGAGGCGGACTCTGAAGCTTTCGAGGGCACTTTCGCCGTCGATTTCGTGACAGAGCCTTTTGAAGAGACAGACGAGAGTTTGCCGCCTCGTACTGTCTACTTTGAGGACCAGGAGTTTGAGACTTTGAAATCAGACGATGACCGGCCGCAGCTGGTTGTACTTCATGGACTGTCCGGAGGTTCTCATGAGATCTACCTTCGACATGCGATTGCGCCCCTGATCGATTCTGGGCGCTGGGATATTTGCGTCGTAAACTCGAGAGGCTGTGCCAAGAGCAAGTTTACCAGCGGCACTTTGTACAACGCAAGAGCAACTTGGGACTTCCGACAGGTCAGTTATCCGCAGTACTACTGGTGTGAAGATGGCTAATGTGATCATGGATATAGACGGTGAAGTGGTTGAGAGAAAAGTTCCCTAACCGACCACTCTTTGGCTTGGGTTTCTCGCTTGGTGCCAATATGTTGACAAACGTATGTTGGAGATTCTCATGAACCTTTGCCTTGACTGACCTCCCTTGTTAGTACTGCGGCGAAGAGGGAACCAACTGTCTGCTGACGGCTGCCATTGCTTGCTCCAACCCCTTCAACTTGGAAGTTGCCAACAAGGCGCTGAAGAGATCATTCCTCGGCAGGGAGGTTTACCAAAGAGTGATGGGAGGTTAGTCGGTTTTCTGGCCATTTCGTCCGTATGATCTCATTCACTCACACACTGCAGAAAGCATGAAGCAGCTCATCGCTGGCCACAAAGATTCGATTCAGAAATTCACCAAACTAGATCTTGAGCGTCTGCAAAAGGTCACTTATCTCTGGGAGTTTGATAGAGAAGTCCAGTATGCATTCCAAGATCATGAGTCTCCCATCAATTTCTGACTTCAATAGGTGCATCAGCTGGGGCTACCCCACCGAGGACGCTTACTACCGAGATGCGTCATCCTCTGATGCCGTCTTGGCCATCAGGATTCCCTTTTTGGCCCTTCACGCCACAGATGATCCGGTAAGTTTCCACTAAAGAGAAGCGCATTTCCAGACTAACAGGTGTGATAGATTGCTGTGGAGGAGGCCATTCCATATGAAGAGTTCAAGAAGAACCCTTACACTATTCTGTGCACTACTTCCCTGGGCGGTCATCTCTGCTGGTTTGAACCAGGTGGCGGGAGATGGCACGCGAAGCCGGTAGCGAACTTTTTCAACCACATGGCCTTCAACGTCGACCATAACTCGATGCCCCCCAAGACAAACGGACCTCCCGCCACGAACGGCAAGGCAGAATACCACTTCAACCCAGTGAGACACAGAATGGAAATCAAAGCCAGCAAGGCATAATCACATCAATTAGATTCGTACCAAAAACATACCATTAATGTATAGATAGAGTTTGCTTCTCATTTCATTGACATATATCAGAAGATATACAGAGCTATAGACAAGAATGAGACGAATAGACGGATTCGCCGCGAAGATGTACATCACTTGCCGGCTCTCCAATCTGACGAATGCCCTGTGGTGATGCATTAAGCTCATGCGGAAGGGCAAGATCCGCCATGGTATCTGCTCTGAACGCCGCCAAATACTTGCAAAAGGGGTAAAATAAGATGAACAAGATTCCCCTCCGACACATCCCAGCCCAGTCTGTTTTTTTTATTGGCACTCCGAACGCCACCCAATATGCAAAATAATACCGATGCTAAGGTAGAGGTAACATCTCCAATGGATGCAATTACGCAAAGGACACGCTCTTCTTCTTCTTGGGCTTGGTGGCCTTGGATCCGGTGATGGCAACATCGTTGATGTTGTTCTCGTTGTCCGCGTTGGCGTTGCGCTTGCGCTTCTTGCGCAGGGCGTCCTTGGTGTCCTCCAACTTTGACTTCTTCTCCTCCTCCTTCTTCTCGGCCTCTATCCGGCGGGCTTCACGGATCTGCTCCATCTGTCTTGCCTTAATCATCTTAGACTCGATCTGTCCCTCCTTCTCGGCCTGGACGATAGCAAGAATGGTGTTCATGCTCTCCTATCGGTTGTTGTCAGCACGCGATTGTGGGCGAAATGAGATGTGCAGCACAAAGACGCCTTACCCTGTCATCGACAAAGACCTTGCCCTTCTTCTTGCCCTTGGGCTTCTGCACGCCCGCAGGAACGATAGTGTTCAGCTTGGGAATGTCGAGCTCCGCCTCAGTGTAGACCTTCTTCTTGCGCTTCTTCAACAGGGCTTCGAGTCCAGACTTTCCCTTGCCCTTTAGCGGCTTGGTTCCCTTGGGGGTGTCTCTCGATTTCCTAACGATGCCATCCTGGACGGGGCGCTTTGATTCCGTCTTGCTGTTTTTGATGCCGGACTTATTCGCCGCGTGCTTGTTCTTGATGGTTTTTGTCTTGGACGGCGGCATTATGGCGGGTACGTGGGGTCAGAAAGGTCGGGTGTGGCGGTTGTTGAAATGGACTTGGTCGCGCGACACGGTTGAAAAGTTGGAGGGACCAAAGTGCAGATTCCAGAATTTTTTCTGTCTGCACCAGCGATAAGCTCATCGAGACGGGGGCGATAAGCTTGAGTGGGTCCACTCCCCGCCATCTGACTTCAAAGTCCCAACTCAGACAGTGTACTCCGAACACTTGCAGGTCTTGAAATTCGGCGACTCTTCCAGTTCTAGAGAGGCTTTGAATCAGAAAATATTTAATTATAACCTCACCAATCACTCGCACATGCTAAAGCATAACAAGACAGCACGAGTTTCTCATGCCATACAGAACCGGATCCAATTGACTCGGTCTCCGACATGGAGTGCAGCTTCAGGGACCACTGCTAGCTAGAATTGGGAGTCACTGACCTGGGTGCCAATGCACTTTTTGCGTAGTAGTGGTTGTACATCCCTGTCAAAATTTTATGTGACTGCCGTTATCGCAGTGACCCCAAATCTCTCACCTCTTCTTCCGTGACTAATATCTTCCCGACGAGCAACCTTACTTACGACCAGCACTCAATTGCACGATTTCTGAGCCATTGGCTCTTGAACTTCACCCACACACTTCATCCTTTCGGTTGTATCAACCAGGCATCGCCAATTGACAGGATGGCGCAGCCTGTCAAGAGGTTCCCGGGCCACCTGGCTCAGTTCGTTCGGTGCTACTCGGTTTCCGCTGAGACCATTCCGGTCGCCAAGAAGAAGTACATCCCGACGGAAGGCACATATCCCCAAGGTTTCCAGGCCTCTGGTATCTTGGTAGGAGTTAAACCAGGAAACAAGACAAAGCCAGATGTTGCCCTGCTCAGCTCAGACCGTCCCTGTGCCGCTGCCGCCGTCTTCACCAAGAACAAGTTCCAGGCCGCGCCCGTCACCTTCAGCAGGGACCTGTTGAAGAAGAAGGCCAACCGTGGCATTCGCAGCGTCCTTATCAACTCGGGATGCGCCAACGCCGTTACCGGCAAGGGAGGTCTGGAAGATGCCTCTCTAATGGCCCACGCGGCTGACAAGGCCGTTGGCAATGACGGCAATGCGTCATCTACCATTGTCATGAGCACCGGTGTCATCGGACAGAGACTGCCCATTTCGAAGATTGTGGACAACGTTCCTGTTGCCCAGGCAGCTTTGGGATCCTCCCATAAGCACTGGCTGAACTTTGCTACCGCCATCTGCACGACCGACACGTTTCCTAAACTCATGTCCAAGACTTTCACTCTGCCCTCCTCACCGGGCGTTGAGTACCGCATCGCTGGTACTACCAAGGGCGCCGGTATGATTCACCCCAACATGGCCACCCTCCTTGGTGTTATTGCTACGGATGCTCCCATCTCACCTGCCGTTATGCCCTCCGTTCTCAAGCACGCCGTCGACCGCTCTTTCAACAGCATCACCATTGACGGAGACACTTCCACCAACGACACTCTGGCCCTACTTGCCAACGGCGCTGCTGGTGGCAAGGAGATCACCTCTGAGGACTCGCCCGATTACGCTGCCTTCAAGGAGGTTCTGACCGACTTCTCTATCGACCTGGCTAAGCTCATTGTCCGGGATGGCGAGGGTGCGACCAAGTTTGTCACCATTCGTGTCGTTGAGTCTGCCAGCGAGGAGGCTGCTCGTAAGATTGCCAGCACTATCGCCAGATCACCTCTCGTCAAGACCGCTCTCTACGGCAGAGACGCCAACTGGGGCCGCATTCTGTGCGCAACTGGCTACTCTCTGGTTTCGGAGCCCGGCCAGGCCGTGAACGACGTTCCCGAGGTTGTCCCTGAGAAGACTAACGTCTCTTTTATCCCTACTGATGGCACCGCTGAGTTGAAACTGTTGGTCAACGGCGAGCCCGAGATGGTGGACGAGGCTAGAGCCTCTGAGATTCTGGAGCTTGAGGATTTGGAGATTCTGGTGCGCTTGGGCACCGGCAACAAGGAGGCCACGTATTGGACCTGTGACTACAGCCACGAGTACATTACCATCAACGGCGACTACCGCACATAAAAAGACAAAAGGCATCAAGTTTTGGGTTTAGAAAAGGCGGCATGTCATTAAAAAAAAAACCGGAGTCAACCACTAGAAAAATGGTTATTTGTTAAACTAGAATAAGACAAGCGATATATCGAATTGAGAAAGTAGCTTCTGTTAACAGTTTCTGCCGGGTCTTATTGGACGGTTGTGGGTTCGGGATTATATTCCGAAAAAGACGTTCCACCGGAATCCTTGGGCGCCAAACGCCGCACCGAGGCACCGGAAGGGACAATGGGTGTTCCTATTGGCGATGCGATTGCGATGGTCTTCCCCCCGCAGAGCTGACGCGCCAGGGTGGTGCCACTATGGCTTTGGGTTCAGAGGGTAATAACCGGACGCCCGAGACTACGGCATAATCTTTCAATCAATTATTGAGCGGGTAGTTTCAAAGGCTGGTGTCAGGAGGCGTTGACATGAGTGTCTCGACTAAACTCTTTATCGATGCAAGAGTAGGCGATTATGAAGGAAATACGATTGTAACGTATGTTTCTCTAGAATTTATTTCAGAAAGAAAATGTTTAATTGACAAAGTTATCTTGAAAGCGAGCAATCCTGTTACAGGAGAATCCACTGCCGTGAGGGGCCATTCTCAGACGTGGAGGCGGAGGACAAGACATTACCCCAGGATCCCCACCTTTTGGAGGCCCTGTAGCTCCCAGAATGTACCTCGGCTCCGGGTCGTCCAAACGTCCATCTACCGTACGACGCAGACTAAACATTTCCCATTCAAAAGGGAGGGGAGGTCCATGCTATCGATTGAATTCCAATCTTCTGATTCCCCGGCTTCTTCAACCCCATTTCAATAAACCAATTTGAGACCCACCATTGTACCTTTGGTTTATTAATCCCAGTGTCCCAAAATGACGTCCAGAGTCCCAGCCATTGTAGGTGTTCACTGCGGGGAGATCGGTTGCTTCGCTAGCTAACGAGCCGACGCCAGGTCTTGGATCGCCTCAGCGATCGCGCCAAAGAGGCGCTCGACCTCGTTGCGAAGTTTGTCGAGGAAGACTGCATTCCGTGAGCAATCGCATCTCAAAATTTGATCCCCCCCGGTCAACTGTACTGACACGTTTCGCTATCGCAGCGCAGACCCCGTGCTGGAAGCCCAGATCGGCCAGGGCGACGCGAGATGGGACCACCACCCGGCTATTGTCGACGACCTCAAGGCCAAGGCCAGGAAGCTTGGCCTGTGGAACATGTTCTTGCCCAAGGGCCACTACAAGGAGTCTCCTGGCTTCACGAACCTCGAGTACGGCCTCATGGCCGAGTGGCTCGGCAAGTCAAGGGTTGCGTCGGAGGCTGTCAACTGCGCGGCGCCTGATACCGGTAACATGGAGGTGCTGGCCAAGTACGGAAACGAGGAGCAGAAGCAGAAGTGGCTCAAGCCATTGATGGAGGGCGAGATCCGCTCTGCATTCTTGATGACTGAGCCGGAGGTTGCGTCGTCCGATGCTACCAACATTCAGCTTAGCATGCGCCGGGAAGGTAACGAATACGTCTTGAATGGCTCGGTAAGTTCTGTTTCACCCATCTATCTTACGGGGTTTATGTATTGACTCGTGGTAGAAATGGTGGTCTAGTGGTGCCGGTGACCCTCGGTGCTCGATTTACATTGTCATGGGCAAGAGTGACCCCAACAACAAGGACCCCTACAAGCAACAGTCCGTTATCCTAGTGCCCGCAGAGACCAAGGGTATCACCATCCACCGCATGTTGCAGGTCTACGGCTACGACGATGCGCCCCACGGCCACGGCCACATCAGCTTCAAGGATGTTCGTGTACCTGCTAGCAACCTTGTTCTCGGCGAGGGCCGCGGCTTTGAGATCATCCAGGGCAGACTTGGTCCCGGCCGTATTCATCACGCCATGCGCACCATTGGAGCCGTAAGTCCTTCACTGGGATAGTAGCTAAACAAGATAACTAACGTATTCCTTTCGTAGGCCGAGCGAGCTCTCGAGTGGATGCTGATGCGCATCAACGACCCTACCAAGACTCCCTTTGGTAAGCAGCTCAGGGAACATGGCGTCATTCTCGAGTGGGTGGCCAAGTCGCGTATCGAAATCGATGCCGCACGTCTCGTTGTTTTAAACGCAGCCATCAAGATGGACGACCACGGCCCGAAGAAGGCCCTCAAGGAAATTGCCGAGGCCAAGGTCCTCGTCCCGCAGACGGCCCTGACAGTTATCGATCGGGCCATCCAAGCCTTTGGCGCAGCCGGTGTCTGTCAAGACACGCCGTTGGCCAGCTCGTGGGCAGGCATCAGGACGCTACGTCTTGCCGACGGCCCCGATGAAGTGCACCTGCAGCAGATGGGCCGCAACGAGAACAAGAGAGGCAAGGAGGTGACGGAGAAGATCCAGAGACAGAAGCAGAAGACGGAGCAGCTTATGGCGCAGTACAAGACCAAGACAGTGCAGCCGGGAGCTAACATCAGCCGGTCCAAGTTGTAAGAGGTTGTCAGCTATTAGCCTAGTTTGTCGTTGAATAGAATTTCATGTATAACAACAACAAAAACCCGTCAGTGCGGACGGGTGTGTCGGTCCTTCGACCGTTGGCCCGCCGCCTCTTCTGACTCACTAATACTAGAGCCGCTATGTGGCAATGCGCATTCTGGGTTTGCTTCACGATGAACCATGCGGCATTAAGCTCCGGGAGGCAACGAGGCCGGTCACCTTGGAGATGTCCTCCCACGGTTCAAGACACTGCATGGCAGAAGCACTGACTGGATGAGATTTACACAGATGCGACCTTTTTCAAGGATGGTTGACTCTTTCCATCCCCGCTAGGAAAAGATGGAGGGGGTCATGGCAACTCCACAGACCGGGAACTGGATGCAATGCACAACACATCACCGAACGAACACCTTGGGTTGTGCTTCCGGGGGGTACTGTTGTCTGTTGGGTCAATGTAGCAACGGCACAAGATGGACTGGGATGGCCGGGTTACCTAGGGCGCCCGCTAGATGGGGACAAAAAAACCTGACAGCACACTCGGCCATCCATCACACGGACAACTGAGCTCCTTCCACAGAAGCTTGACAACACTAAGGCCGGCCCCGGTAAGCCCAGCCTAGACCCACATGTCCATCAGCGAATGCCCCCTTCCACTTTAACCCCCTGAACCCCTGCACCAGCAGTTTTCCCAGCGGCGCGACCGTTTCGTGACCTCGGTTGCCCCATCAACGCTCCGAAAATTCGTTTACTTTGACAACCCAGCAACTACTCCACCGAACCGACGACCATCAGCAGGCCCGACGTGCATCTTTTTCACATCAATTCACGAACGTCATAAACAATCCACGGCAATCCTAGTGCGCGGCGCACAAACACTTTGCATTCAAATACAAAGCCTTTCTTCCCTTTTTGCATTGGCCCCAATTCCACATTCAAGCAAACCCACAAGCCCATCCATCTGCCCGTCTACAGACTTTTGGTCTTCAAACTGCCAACCTACCAATACAGCTCACCTCACATCAAATCGCATCGCATCGCATCGCATCACCAATACAACCCGCGCACTTTGCACAACACAGCCCCTTATCTACTTTCATCACCAAACACCTGCCAGCAACAATGTCTCCCAACGTTCTCGCCGACAAGGACGTCAACGCCACCGTTGTCTCCAACAACGACCAGGCCACCAAGGATGTTAAGAGCATGGAGTACCACCGCCAGGTCCTGCAGAACAAGATGGCCCAAGAGAAGTACGACAATCCACAAACTCACCGCTACCAGAACCAAACCCTAAACTCTGGTCACATCGATAGGTCCAAGACATACATCTCGCCCTCTGACAACATCATGAGCCCCTGCACAGCCAAGCTCAACGCCCTCCGCAACAAGCAGGTCGGCAAGTAAGTCACCAACCAATTTCTTTTTCCTCTTCACTCTCATCAAAACTAACCTGCTTCCCATCAGGGTCAAGCCCAAGTCCCTCTTCGCTCAGGCATCCGCCAAGAAGCTTGAGGGCGACGCCCTGTTCGGCAGCAGAACGGCATCACCTGGCAAGGACAACACCTTCTAGAAGCATCACATCTTCACCAAAGTACAAAAGCTTTTTTTGATGATGGGACGGGTTTTCTAGGGTTGTTTTAACGGTTCTTTCTGGGTGATTACGGAATCTGCGGCCTCCATGGTTTTTCTTCCTGGAGGGGATAGGGCATCGGCGTTCAACGGGGTACCACTGTCTTACTCTAGGATAAAGGGACTGGACCATGACATGACACGAAATGATATCAGCTTTCCTTTCTTTGCTTCTTCTCTAATTCCTTGGCAATTGAGATTTTCTTTTGGGGGAGGGACTGTATTCATCGGGCCGGCCAGCTTTTCTGGTAGCCAATGCAGTAAATACAAACTCCACATGACTTTTTAAAACCATCTCGTCCTATTCGTGCATTGTTATCTACGCCTTCCACGCGCTCACGATATAGACGACATCCTCGTCCGCCACTACGTGACCCAGTCCCACCCTCTGCGGTATGTGCCTGGCGCTGGCACCCCAGACCAGGGCGTACTTGAACGTGTCCTTGAGCGTTCTGTGGATACGGTCGCAAACATCCTCAATCGTGCTGTTGCTGCGCACAATCAGAGCCTCGCTGAAGTCGGGCTCCATACCCTTACGCTTCGTGTAAATGCGGATGAGCTTGAGCTCCTGCCAGCAGCGGTCGATGACGTCCTGGATACCGAGGTCGAGCTCGCAGCTCATGACGGCCGTCTGCGGCTCACGCGCGAGCTTGTCGAGGAAGTCGAGGGAGACGCTGTCGATCTTGTTGTAAACGTACAGACACTTGATGTACTTGCGATGGTCCTTCATGATGACGTCGATGAGGTCGTCTACCGTCGCGTACTCGTCACGAACGAGAACCTCGCAGTTGAGGATCTTGTAGTCGCGCAGGATGTTGAAGACCATCTTCTCGTCCATGTTCTTCGGCGGGCTCTGGAAAGTGATTTTCATACCACCGGCCTTCTTGGCCTTGAGGTAGATATTACTAAGGAGTGTGATTAGACCACAAAAACGAAGTGTTGTTATTGGAGAGAGAGTGCTTACGGTGGTTCTCTGTTCAGACGGATACCGACGGCCTCCAATTCAGCCTCGAGCTGTGCACGTTGTTCGGCCTTCTTGGTCGCGTCCAGCACCATGAGAATCATGTCGCTGGTCTTGGCTGCCGAAATGACCTGTCTTCCTCTGCCCTTGCCCTCGGCGGCACCCTCGATGATACCGGGCAAATCGAGCAACTGGATTTCGGCGCCGCCATACTCCAAAACACCAGGGATGGCTGTGAGTGTTGTGAATGCGTACGACGCAACCTCGGACCTCGTTTTGGTGACTTTGGATAGGAACGTTGATTTTCCGACTGAGGGGAAGCCGACTAGGGCTATTCTGGCATCACCACTTTTGCTAACATCAAAGCCAGCGCCACCACCGCCTCCTGCTCCCGGACCGGGCTCTAGAAGCTGTGCCCTTAAACGCGCGAGTTTACTGGCCTTTGTGTGAGCAGACATATACAACGTTAGCTAGGTTGACTTACCCCTTGAGGAGACCCAAATGATATTCTTAAAGGGTCGGTTAACAGTTGCCACAGACAGCGACTTTCATCACGACGTACCAGTAGCCTTATTCTCTAGAAAAATTTAGCATTTTTAAATCAAAAATAAGCGCGCTGGATGAAACATCCTCTTGACGTTTTCCAAACATGCCAGGGCTCTAGGAATATCTGCCTTTCATAGGCCTGCGGGAAGCTTTGAAGGAGGTGCACCCAGTGACTTTCCTAGTCGCCCCGCATGTCTGATACGGAAATACGTCGAAGAAAACACCCATTCAGTCGGCGGGAGCGGTCCTTACTCTGAGTCTTCCTCATCTCCTCCTCAATCCTGATCCCGAATCGTCAGTCTTCGTGCTCATGATGAGTCGTGGCTGGGGCCGTACTCCTTGATCTTTTCCGTAATGTTGACCATCTTGGCGGTTTTATGAGTTCAGAGTCCCTAAAGACTCCGAAAACCCTCTAAAAATGATTCAAAAATGGCAGAAAGAGGCGTCGCTTTCGACTTGATGAAGCCTTCACAAGTTCAAGGTGGGGCAGCCACTCTCCAAGGTGTGGGAAGACGATGACCGTGGCAGAATTTATCGCGGGGCTGCTTCAAGCTGCAGGGGTCCCACACACCGCCTTCCGAGGTTTGCGCCACAGTTCTTCAGACGCGGTCCGCTTACCTAATGGTCGCGCGGCGAACCTAGAAATTCACCTTGCGACAACAGTCTCTCAAGCTATTGTTCAACCACCAAGCAGGAGTTCGGCGATTACGACTATACACCATCGCAGATATGTCCGACGAAGTCGCATTGGCGAGAACTGAGGAAGTTGATGGAGGAGCAGAGGCACAAGATACGACGGCGTTGGCGACTACCAACAATGAGGTCGCTGCGCCAACGGAGAGGAAAGTGAAGAAGATCATCAGAAAGAAGAAGAGACCGGCGCGACCCCAAGTCGACCCCTCTTTCATCACATCCGAGCCGCCTCCGCAGACGGGAACTATTTTCAACATCTGGTACAACAAGTGGTCTGGCGGTGACCGCGAGGACAAATACCTGTCGAAGACGCACGCCAAGGGCCGCTGCAATGTTGCTAAGGACAGCGGATACACGAGGGCCGACAACGTGCCAGGCAGCTATTTCTGCCTCTTCTTCGCGCGCGGAATCTGCCCCAAGGGCCAGGACTGCGAGTACCTTCATCGCCTACCGGGCATTCACGATATCTTCAACCCAAATGTTGATTGCTTCGGGCGAGACAAGCATTCCGACTACAGAGACGATATGGGCGGTGTCGGTAGCTTCATGAGACAGAATCGTACTATCTACGTTGGAAGGATACATGTGACGGACGATATCGAAGAGATTGTTGCGCGTCACTTTGCGGAATGGGGTCAGATTGAGCGAAGTAAGTCTGCTGAGCCGTGCACTACATCTTACAGTTGCTAACCTCCTCTCTAGTTCGTGTACTCAACACCCGTGGAGTCGCATTTATCACATATTCCAACGAAGCAAACGCTCAATTTGCCAAGGAAGCAATGGCACATCAGTCCCTGGATCACGAAGAGATCCTCAACGTCCGCTGGGCGACCGCCGACCCCAACCCCATGGCACAGGCACGCGAGGCGAGGCGTATCGAGGAACAGGCGGCAGAGGCTATTCGACGGGCACTCCCAGCCGAATTTGTGGCGGAAATTGAGGGCAAAGATCCGGAAGCTCGTAAGAGGAGGAAGATTGAGAGCAGCTACGGGCTCGAGGGTTACGAGGCGCCGGATGAGGTTCACTTTGCTCGCGGCGTGAACGCCGTCAACCCGGTCGGAAGAGAGGGCTTCGAGGTGGAATACCAAGAGCGGCCGATGCTCGAGAATGGCGACGGCGCGAACCAGTCACAGTATCAGGCCTTGCCGGCGCCGCAGCAGCAGTTGCCTATCGCTTCTGGTGGCATCTTCTCCAGCAGCACCCTCGCAGCTTTGAACACCGCCAAGGTGGCTGTGGCGTCGAAGCCGAAACCGGCTGTGTCTGCGGGACCGTTAGTCGCATATGACAGCGACGATGATGACGAGTGAGCAAGGTGGTTGGCGCATTGTACAATAACTGATAAAAAGCGATCATGATTGATACCCGGTGATAGTGGAACATCGAGGGACACAGGTTTGCGACCTGAAAGATTTCAACTGTTGAATATTCGTGAATACAGAACTTCATGTCTACCTATCCACAAGTCCATGACGGGCATCGTCTGTCCGGCCCTTTCTATAGGTGTCTCCCATTCCCTGTCGATGGCCGCTGTGATGGTGCGCTGAACCTGACTACTGGCAAGAACCTTCTGCGCCTGATACGGCCCAAACATGCTCGCCCTCACAGCAGCAGAGATCAGAGCCTTGACATGACCCATCATGAAGATGTATGCCGTCTGGTGGAGGGTGAGCCCCACTAGTTTGCATATGGCCCCGAAGAGGGGGGCGAGATGGGCAAACACCAACGGCGGGTCAGCGTACTCGTCCATGGTGGATGTTGTCCGGGACGATGTGGACTTAAGCAGCGCCGCATACGGCTGTAGCGGCTCGACGACATCTCGAGGTAGAGACGAGACGAATGAGCGCTCCCAGATAGATAGCAGCGCGCGACCTTGCGCTATTGAGGCACGCCGACCAACGGTGCAGATGATTGCCGCATCCAGAAAGTCGTCTAGCTCTGCGACGGCTGCTGGATCGCGATGCGCTGCTAATACGAAGGGTAGTGTGGTCGAGGCGTAGGCGGATATCGATTCAGGGAGGAAAACGTTGAAAGATGAGCGGCCTCTTGTGTGTGCCAGATAAGACTCAAGACCGCTGCTAAAGGCAAATGAGCCCAATGGCAAAGCCGAATCTGATAAAAGAAGAAGATAATGATTGGAGGATGTCAGTGAGGCTTCATTTCATCATGTTAGTCGACTTGTACTTTTGAGACAGGCTTATCAGAGACAGATGAGATAGACTCACATGAAGGTTTCGGGAGGCTTCTGGACGGCAGTGAGCCGTGAGACTCGGTTTGTGCCCGAAGACCCTTCAACTTCCCCCTCGCAGCGGCAAGGCGTGCTTCTAACTCCAACACCTCCTTCTCGGCATCATCAATGAATTCGTCCCGCATATTTGAGCCCATTGGAAGGCCGTTGACGGAACGTGGAAAGGTGGAAGTTGATAAGCTTTTGATAGCGCCAAGGGCCCCTGCATGATAAGGGGAAAGTGACCCCTTCAGCGGCATCGGCGGGGGGGTCCATCATCCAGCGAACACACCCCCCACTGAATTTGGATCCCGCCCAGCAGGAGATCGGATGCACTGCAGACTTACAAGGATGCGCTTTCGGCGTCTGCTCTCGTCCCACTTGCCCGCCAACCTCGCTCACCTTCGGGGAATGATGGATGAAAAGGCTTCAACCAACCTAACTAAGCCTTGTCAGTAAGGGTAGCTGGTGTGAACAGCGGCCGCAAGCGAGATCGTACGATTTTCACCAATCAAGCTTCGAGAATTTTGCTTCTTTCATTCTCCGGGCTTGCAAAGCTCTACCCTCCCTTTTCAGTTCACTGTGCAACTCAATTCCACAACATTGAGTCGCCCGTTTCGACCGCACCGACGTCATCACTTTTATTAATTTCTGCCCTCTCTCCGCAGACGCACGCCCAGGTCGTCATGCCCGCAAGATGAAGTCGCACGACCAGATGAAGAGCGCCGAGGCCAATGATGCCGCCTGGGAAGCCACACGAGGAGCCGTTATGGGCGCAGCGAGATGGGGTCTCGGAGCTGCCGTCATTAGTGCCGTCGCATACAAGTTCTCGCCGCTGTATAAGGGCCTGACGATTCAATTTAAATGGTAATGCGTCACGCGACACCCTCTCAAACGGTGCTTCACTCACACCGGGTAAAGATGAACTGACATGTGAGATGCAGCTACATTCAAATGTCCGCAATGGTGCTCGGAAGCATGCTCGAGGCCGACCACAGGTTAAGAGAGTATGAGGCCAAAGTCAGGATGCAAAAGCGCATTCTGAGGGAAAGGGCGAAGTGGGAGAGGTTCGAGCAAGAGTACCTTGAGAACCCATCGGAGAAGAAGTAAGCGGCCATAATTGGCGGCACATGAATGAGACCTGGAATCTCAAAGAAAATGATCTGAGAATGTTTTCATTTTAACTGTATAACACCGGATATTCAATCCATGGCTTTTGCTACACATAAAGGTACTACAGACCTAAATTACCCCAACGCCGAATCATGCAAGTCATTATTTCCCGCCAAAGACGCGTTTGCTGGTTATTATCCCATTATTTTGACGGCACTTGAAACTTCTTCGGGTCCATGTTAATCTTGCAGAGTCTCGCCACGCAGCCGCTCAGCTGCAGCAGCGTCTGTACACCCTCTAGAATCTTCATATGAGTGAAACCAATCTCCTTGATAAACTCGAGTTTGGAGTGCTCGCTGAGAGTGGGGATCGTCTTGGTAACCTTGAACATGGTGCTGATAATGTCGTGGCTCGAGTATCCCAGATCCCACAACTCCCTGAGGCTGTCCAGAGCCGAGTCAACGTTGCCTTCGTAGCAAGCCTTGAGCATGGCCTGCACCTTGATAGGATGCGGTGAATCCACGACCTTAAAGACATTGTCGCCAGATACAAACCCGAAACCGGCAAAGGTCGACTGTAGGTTGTTGATGGCTTGTCGCATGTCACCCTCGGCACTGAAGACCAGCGCTGCCAAACCATCGTCACTGTACTCCACCTTCTCGGCCTCAATAATCTGAAGAAGACGCTTGACGACCTGCTCATCGGTCAGACGAGCGTATCGCAAGATGGCGCAACGAGACTGCAGCGGCTCGATGATCTTGTTGGACTGGTTGCAAGCGAAGGCGAAACGGGTCGTGTTGGAGTAGATTTCCATAGTTCGGCGAAGGGCCTGCTGCGCGCCTGATGTCATGCTGTCGGCCTCGTCGAGGATAACGAGCTTGTGTCGGCCCTGAGGAAGGGTGACCTTTTTCTGGGCAAAGCCCTTGATGCGGTTGCGGACGACGTCGATTCCTGTCGTCAAGAGTCAGTGAATGATGCGCGACAGCTTGCATGTATATTTAGTCATACCTCTTTCGTCACTTGCGTTTAGCTCCAACACGGCCTCTTTGTATGATTCTCCCAGTAGCTGTCTGGCAAGGCAGAGCACACTCGTCGTCTTTCCAATACCAGGCATACCCGAGATGATGACGTGCGGCATGTTTCCCTCCTTTGCAATGATCTTCAGCCGGTCTATCGTTTCTGTGTTTCCGACAACATCGTCGAGAAAAACGGGGCGGTACTTCTCGACCCTGTGTTGCGCATCAGCATCTAGCTCTCTGGCGATTCACAGATAGGGCGACCTACCAAGGAAGCTCGTAATTAGAGACGCCATTAGAGGCAGCAGTCAGCGCCTTCTTTGCTGCTGATGTAGATGACTCGCCAGCCTCCTCGGGCTTCGTGATTTGCTTCTGTGCAGGCATTGTTCTTGGACCGGATGGTTGTCGTGGGGGTTCACAATGGTAGGGTCGTCAGAGTTCTGCACAGATGAATGGGCGGAAGCACTTTACGCGATGCTCGCCGAAAAGACGCGTCTGGACGATACGCGCTAAACTTAATCGGGCCCACTACAGGTACCTAGGTACACCACCACTTAACTCGACCTGTCTTTGAATAAGCCCAAACTGGGACTAATACCATGCTATGCATTCTGCAACTTAAAAAAGGTTGAACTCTCCATCAATACTGTTTGTTTTTGTCAGCTGTACGTCTTTGGAGCATTGGGCGGAGTATATTATCAACTGAAGTGCTTCGACCGAGTTATTTCCAGACATATTTGCATTTCTGTTTGTTGCTTTTTGCGTAGGAACGTCCTCAGACGTAGTCTAATGATACTTTTCTATAAAAGTTACAAATATTCACAGCGTTCAATTGCGTTGGTTGGCTCATTAAAGATTCGAAAGCTGGCTGACCGTCGGCCCGTTGTCCTCTTAGGTGGTCCGTGCACATATCGGCAAGTTGTCACTGCCTGACGACTTTCACATCTTCACACTCCTCAACACTATCCTCCAACAGTGAGCCGTGCAAGCTGTCTGTTATTATGGCGCCTGTTCTCTCGTCACGCCGGATCCGCAGACGTCGAGTGGCCGATGAAGATCGCAAGCGGGCATCGAGGGCTTGCACCCGGTGCAAAGCCCGTAAGAGCAAATGTATTGAGACGGCATCGGGTATCTGCCAACGATGCCAACGAGGGTCCTACAAATGTAGTTTTGAACAACAGGAGTCGCCTACACCACAAACAATGTCTCAAACACCAGTGAGGGAAGTCAGTTCACCACATAATTCAACTCCGACACCGAACTCGGGACCAGTTGCCGATGGCCCAGAAGGCCGTCCTATGCACCGGGATCTTTGTTCGAACGGTGATGCCCCTGAGAATTTTATGTGGCCACGGTTTTTGTCTCGCTTGAGAAGCGCCTTCTACCTGGAATCACAACCAACATCTGCCGAGAGAGAAATGGCCAGAGCAGAGGCTCATGTACCCCGCATGTCACCCCCTTACCAGTCTGCGGAAGCACTTCGCTTGCAGGCAGCCATCGATAGACTACCTCCTATACCAGTTGCAATGTTCTTAGCTAGGTTGTGTATCAAGCATGGCACTGACAGTTTCTTCTATTTCGACCAAACAACTTTCTTGTCGGAACTGGAAGACTTTTACAATAATCTAACCTCGCCTCTCCGTCGCGATGCGAGTTTTGTCTGTCTACTCCTCTCTGTGCTTGCCCTGGGCAGTCAATGGACCCCGCGAGCCCGTCCGAGAACCTTAAACCCTCCATCTTTCTCTTTTGGAGGCGATCCTGGGCGTGTTTTCTCTGATCATGCTCGCATCTTGATGGCAGACACTATGGATCGGGTAAGCATGTATTCTGTCGAGGCCGCTTTCGTCCTGGGCGTATACCTTATGCCTTCGAGTGCTATCGGGGCATCATATCTATACATGGGCTTAGCCCTAAGGAAGGCCTTGACTCTTGGGCTTCATCAAGAATCAGAAGACCCTGACGTCGATAATCACGAGAAGGAGATGCGTCGGCGGTTATGGTGGGCCATCTATTCACTCGAGAGGTATATATAACCCTGCCATTAGCAGACGTCTCTGAAAGATGAAGCTAACATCTCTGACAGAACTCTTACAATTAAACTAAATCGACCCAGGTCGGTCGGACAAGAAATCATCACGGCCCGATTGCCTACGCACGCATCTAGTGATTCCTTACAGCCATTCAATAATATCGATCATCAAATTGCGAATGCCAGCTTCGTGAAAATCATTGACACCATCATAGAGCCAGCGTAAGTGTTTTTTGATCCAATGATTCTGCTGCTTTACTCACGCACCAAATGTAGCACTTGGTCAAGCGTCGTCCACCCTCCGTTGGGAGATTATGAGCCAGTTCTCAAGTCTTGGAAGAGGTCGCTACCAGCTGCCCTTGATCTGCAAAATTTAAATCCTACGTCACCTCATTATCGTGCTGTTTTTCATCTTTACCTCAATTATTACTTCGCCTGGATTGCTGTTGGCAAAACTTCCGTTGTTGCCACTATCAGGAGTCACTTGCGATGCGCGATACCTGATAACGCTCTGCTCAGCACGTTGGACGAGACTACGACTAGGCAGTTCCGCTCATGTAGTAGGGCAGCCAAGAAAATACTCAATCTACTCGAATGTGCCAGCAATACTGGGAATATCGCGCCCAGTTCCTTCACGGATTTTCAAGGCTGCAGCATTGCTACAATAATAGTCGTTCTTACGGGTATCCTGGAGAGAGACTCGGCATACGAAGCTCAGGTTGACTTCGGCTTAAGTTGTCTACGAAAGATGGCGAATGTACACACGGCTGGCCGCATGGCGGTATGTTTCGTTGAAGCCTTGCTGTCTATTGCGAAAGAGGCACGAGCAAAGCTGGAAGCAAGTAAAGAAATGCAGTTGCAGACAGAGCTTGGAATAGTTGATTCGGATTACCTTGGCTGGGCCGATTGGTTTGCTGGGGCCGTTGGGTCATCTGGCGGCGAAGAAACTAGACCTTCTGAACCAAGGATTTCGCCGCCAGCCAATTCAGGGACAACCGGTCCTCGACCTGACGTCCTACCGGTGTGGGAAGAAGCGGCAGCGCTTCTTCGGCTCCGGAATCCGCCTACACCAAGTCATACACGTCAGCCTGATGATGTCGCGCTGTCACCCTCCTTTATGAGCCATGAGGAGCCAAGATTTGATGCGGGCATAGATGTCGATATACCAGGCTTTTCATTCACGGAGAATCATATGCAGCTAATGGGCCTTACTGGCATGGACATGCTAGATTTTGATTTTGATTTCCAACAATGACTATACAGCAGCTCCGCAACTGTCGATTTACCTCTTTCAGTTACAGCCTCAACTACACCTCATTCGAAGGATACAATACAGTGTCAGCGCCCACAAAGTCTTCCTTGAGACTTCTGATGTTGGCAAACCGCGCTAGGAGGTTAGTGCTGGTAGCCTTGTCATTGGTACCACTCGCCCGGCCGCCTCCAAACGGCTGATGGCCGACAACGGCGCCGCTGCTCTTGCTGTTGATGTAAAAGTTGCCAGCAGAGTGGCGTAATCCCTTTTCCGCAATCTCGATTGCCTCTCTGTCGCGCGCAAACACCGAGCCAGTCAGGCCAAACTGCGTGGTAGAGTCGATCACGGGTAGCAGCTCTTGATATTGCTCGTCTGGATAGACATAGACGGCAATGATGGGGCCGAAGAATTCGGTCTTCATAAGTTCATGAGAAGGGTTGTGCGTTTGGAAAATTGTAGGCGAGACAAACCATCCCTTGCTGTTATCGGTAAAACCGCCAGCGAGTAATTCAACTTCAGGGTCCTTCTTGGCTTTATCGATGACTGTATTCAACTTGTTCCATGACCTGCCATGGATAACCGGTCCAATGAAGTTGTCAGCTTGCTCGGGAGATCCAACTTTAAGTTTTGCGGTTTCGCTCAAAGAGCGTCTCCTTGAACTCGGGCCAGACTGACTGAGCAACATAAAGACGAGAGGTCGCTGAGCACTTCTGACCTTGGTACTCAAATGCACCACGGATCGTGTTAACCACAGCACTTCGGACGTCGGCGCTGCCGTGAACGAGGTGGAAATTTTTACCACCAGTCTCACCGACCACTCGAGGGTAGCTTTCGTACTTGCCTTCCGCAACGCCCTGTCCGATTTTGCCGTACAATTTTCGAAACACTTCTGTAGACCCGGTGAAGTGAAGGGCTGCGAACTTGGGGTGCTGGAGGACGGAAGAAGTGATGGCATCAGGTTCGCCGGGGATGAGTTGTATCACATCGGGTGGAAGCCCGGCTTCTTGGAAGATGTTGTGAAGGAGGTAGCTTGAATACAAAGCGTAATCTGAAGGCTTCCAGAGCACGACATTCCCCATGATAGCCGGGGCAACCGTCAGGTTGGCGCCAATGGCAGTGAAGTTAAAGGGGCTGATGGCGTAAACGAAACCTTCGAGCGAACGGTATTCGGTTCGGCTGTGGGACCATAGTCAGGGGATATGTTTTTTTGATGGTATTAGGAGTTGCTGCCGACTGGATCTGTTACTTACTTCCAAACTCCCGGGTCGCTTAGTGTATTCTGTTGTTTATACAACTCAGAGGCATAATGGACGTTGAAGCTGGCAGCCGCATTACGATTAGCTACGCGGAATTAAAATTGTTACACAGGGATCGGGTAAAAATATTCTTACCGCAGAAAATCACAGCTCTCAGCTGCTGAGTCAATCTCGGCTTGCCATATGTTCTTACCCTGCCCCAGCATTGTTGCTGCTATGATATCATGGCGGTATTTGCCAGCAATGAGTTCGGCTGCACGGAGGAACACCGCGGCACGGGTAGTGAAAGGGGTGTTCTCCCAGGCAGATTTGGCCTTGAGCGCTCGTTCAATAGCTCGGTTAACTTGCTCAGGCGTCGTTTGAGAGTATTCTACCAAGGTGGAAGAGTGATCGCTGGGTATTTGTTGTTTGGCAATGTTCGGTTCGCCATCCTGTTCAGGGGGTGCAATGATCGAGTTAGTGAACCAGATTCTTGACACATCCGAGGATACTTAGAATGTCACCAACTTTTTCCATGGAAATTTGCGATGGAACTCGTATGGGAAGGTTACTCTTGAGTTTCTGGATGGCATCTTGAAGCTTCTGACGCTCAGCCGATCCTTTGCTATATGATGGCTGCCAGCACATGTCAGTTGCCAGTTTGTCGGATAAAAGCAGTCTGGGAAAGAAGTCCTGGAAGACTGACATTGGGTTCATTGCGAACGGGAGGGGTCTTGTATGTTCCAAACTCTTTGATATCCTTATATAAAAAGGGTTTAACATGACAAAACCGTGTTGATTTGCCGACCTTTGATAGGGGGGTGGTAGGAATATTTCGAAGCATAGCGGCAGTCATCATATCTCTCGCTTCTTTAGGAAGAGTGTCGAGAAGTCTTTATGTGAAAGTCACAATATTTCCATTCAAACGTTTCTTCATACACCCATATTTAAGGGTAGATATAATGACGCAGTGCCGTGTGGAATCAAGCCAACACTAGATGGCGTTTGCCGACGGTGTCGGCAGTCTGCCCACAATCCCGGTGGACAATTAGCCGACCCCGACACGAAGGGATGGACAGCGACTCCGCCTTCTCTGCCGATTCGGAGGCTCAGAAAGGCCAATAACGGTAAAAAGCTTTCTTGGGTTGTCGAAAAACGGAAGTAGCAATTCTGCATTACTTTCTACTGAATTCTCCATGTCGCCTTGGTTTTTGCTTCGCCACATTTACTAACACGGACTCGAAATGGGAAGTGCAACAACTGAATCGGTAAAAGACATCACTGCCGGAGCTGCAGGTGGTGTTGCCCAAGTCCTCATAGGTGGGTGATTGGGATATGAAAGTTCAAAGATGGCGGGACTAATCTTTTTCTAGGCCAGCCATTTGGTATGTTTGACTCACGGAAACGTTACAACCATTTTCGTACTTCTGTCCCAGAGGAAGATGTGGTTTCTGGGAAGCCAATTCAAGAGACTAAGCTTGAATGGTAGATCTTGTAAAAGTACGCCTTCAGACGCAAAGAGGAGGCAATGCCCTGAATTTAGTTCGTACCATATGGGCCAAGGAAAGACCACTGTCATTCTACAAGGTGAGTCTCGAGACCTCCAGAACTTCTACTTACTCTTATAATGTCTCCGGCTTAGGGAACCCTGGCCCCTCTGTTAGGCGTAGGAGCGTGTGTAAGTTCCCCGGTCTTCTCGGCTCAGAGCCACATTGTTATGTCACTTAAACTCAACCTCGTAACAGGTCAGCATTCAATTCGGCGCTTTCCAATTCTTTCGTCGCCAGCTAGAATACTTCCATGATTCTCCTCTGTCATTGCTCGATTTCTACATTGCAGGCGCAGCAGCTGGCGTAGCCAACAGCGTCGTATCTGGCCCTATCGAACACGTCCGAATAAGGCTGCAAACGCAGCCTAGCGGCCCAAACCGACTCTACTCCGGGCCCTGGGACTGTGTGCGCACTATCAACCGGCAGTCCGGCATTAAGGGCCTATATCGGGGTCAAGTTGTTACCCTCCTAAGAGAGTTTCACGGTTACGGCATCTGGTTTGCCGCTTACGAGGGACTTGTGCGGCTAGTGATGGAGCGGGAAGGTATCAAGGAAAGAAATGACGTGAGCAGCTGGAAGATTGCAGTTTGCGGAGGCTTGGCTGGAGAAGCTTTATGGTTAGGCAGCCACCCCCTGGATGTGATTAAGAGCAAGATGCAGAGCGATGGGTTTGGGAAGGACCAGAGGTACAGGACTATGAGGGATGCATTTCGACAGACTTGGAGAGAAGGTCGCTTCAGGTCACTGTTCAGAGGTTTGTCGCCCGCGTTGTTGAGAGCGATGCCAGTTTCTGCTGGGACATTTGCGACGTATGTTTCCATATTCTTCCCATGCTTCCTTCAGAATGGCAGTAACTGACTTTACTTCAGCGCTGAAACGGTCCGAGCTGCCTTACAATAGTTTCATAAGGAAATTTTGCTTTACCATTGTTACGTTAGTTTCAGCTACATAACCGTCCAAGTCTTATGTCTATCAAGATAATTGAGTCCAGAGTCTTAAAGTCATTTTCTTTTTTTTGTGGAAAGTTTCTTGGAGGTTTATGAAAGTACCTTAATCGCTTAAAGCCCAGTGTGATATATCGAAAACTAAGCACAAACCACGCGGTATGAAAGAAACATTTAATTACGTTTCATGAACACCCTGTAGTTACAGCTACCTAACCGACACACCGTTCTTGGCTCTCCTCCATACTTCTGCCTTCAGCGCAGTAAACTCCGACTTGGTTCGAGACACAGCATCTCTATTCTCAACCGCTCGTCGAAGAAGATATGACAGGCAGTCTTCTAGGGAGCCCCAACTCAGGCACTTGTAAACCTCTATCGGGGCCATCCTCGGTGTTTCTTCCCCCTTGACACTAGAGTCCACCAGCTGCAATAGACTGAAACTGACCTCATCAGCCATGCCCAACAGCTGTCCGTACTGAATCTTTGTCAGCGGCTGCGCTTTTTTAATACGAGATTGCTGCAGTTCGTTGGCTGCGAGAACGCTGTGTTTGTTGTGCGTTGCGAGGAATAGCTCTAGGCCTGGAAACGTTACACCACCAGCGGCTCCGAAGTCTCTGTAACTCTGAGATAGAAGACCGTGAGCAACTGAGTCGTAAGATTTGTCTGTGTCTTCCTTGGTGTCGTTGATAAGATGCCGTGGCTCCGAGCTAATGTAGGCACCGCGGACAAGCTTTACTCCGAGGACAAAACCTTCTTTGTTTGCTGTTTTCATGTGCTCAGCGAGCGTATCGGGGGCGCTCTTGAGATATACTTGGTAAGTGTTGTACACAACTGCGCCTTTTCCGTCTATGTTGTAGCGACGCATAAGATCAAGTGCTACTGCGTCTATCCCTGGTTGCACCTTGACTTGCTCCGCGTCAACAAAGATGCGGACCTGTCGTTCGACAGCCCGAGAGCACACCTCAGCGAGGGCTTCTGCCATCTGTCTAGGTAGCGGTTTGCCAGACGAAAGAGTATCGGACACAGCTGCGCCGGCGCCGGTCAGTCTATGATTTCACTGTTAGTGAGCTTGCATTGAACAACACATAAGGAGGTAACCGACTTGAGAGCCAAGATGTCTCCTTCGCCAAGCATGTCGACCGTTGTCAAAACGCCATCCCGCCAAGCTTCAATGCTAGAATCATTCTCAATCTCTGATTCAGAGGCTGACTCTTTCAAGCCGCTGCCGGTTTCTTCTTCAGTCTGATTATCGACTACAATCTCGCGTGCGTAGGTAAGAATCGCTCCTCGGAACCCCATCCGCTTCATCTCTCCAATTGTAGAGGTGACTTCAGCACGATCTTCGCCAGCGCAGAAATGATTATACATCGTTTTCTTCATAAGGCTGTGAAGCAGGGGGTTCCTCTGAACGTCAAACCCCCAGAACCGATGTGGCTCGTTCAAGAACCTTAATACTACCAGAGAGGGACCCAGAAGAAGGCGATTTGAGGAAATGGTTGCTATCAACAATGATCGAAGAAGCACTTTGAGGGGGAGTTTAGAGAGTGGCGGCAACACTGTTGGCGTATTCCTGATCTGCGATGAGAATCGAGCTTGCAGTGGGGTGTGAGACACATGGCCGAGGATGGATGTAGCTTTCCTGATAGAACTTGCAACATGAAAACGGGAGGGAGGTAATCGGTGCATTTCTGTTGCATCAATTCGGGATGGTCCTGAGAGAGGCAATTGTGTCGATAAGGAAGCGACTTATACGCCATGTGAAGCATGCTTAATCTTACAAGTTGGAGGGGTTAAGCACTTGCTTGATACGCGATGTCGGAGCTGTGTACCGTAACCGACGTCGGGCACTGTGTTGCCAGCATGCGGCTATCACTCGGCGTACTTACGCTAACGTTATAATATCGACTCATTTAGTGCTACCCAACATTACATAGGTTTTGTTTCGAATGGCTTAGCTTAGCATAACCCCGAGACACCTTCCCGACATTGTCGGCATTCTGTCGTATACCCAATAGAGGCACGACACCACCCCACAATCGGGGTTCCTGTTTTTGACATACTCGTGTGCAGCAGGCGAGTACTTACTAGAGTAATCCAGAGATTTCAAGCTGGACAATCATTCTAATTAGCTCGATACCCTATTCCAAGCCCGTCAAGGTGAGCAACCGATAACAACCGGGCGGTGCTGGAGCGGGCTAGTGAGAACCATGAGGGCCATGACACCAACACTGGACTCTCCAGGAAAGTGATGAATAACAAACACTGACCATGCATCAAACCATCAAAAGCAAACAGTTTCTATATCTCATTCAGATGTTTCAAGAAAATCATCTCGTCGTCTAAACTGCCAAGTGTCTTCTCCATTGTCATCTCCATGCTTCTGAAGAAATAAAGTACTGGTCAGTGCACCGACCCGCATGTAACTGCTGGGTTCACAGCTAATCCAACCGGGGTTTATCCGACGTCAATGACAGAACCAGAGGGAAGCAATCCAGAGAGCTGAGGGGCTTTGCTCAAGGTACCTGGACAAGCCCCACCATCCAGAACGCCAGCAAGCTCCAAAACCACATCATCACATTTCACTTGCTTCAACCATCTTACCGTCCCGCCCCTCCCCCCAGATCCGAAATTCCCACCACACCCGTCAAACCGCCCACAATGGCTGCAAAGGGAGACAAGATCGAAAAGATCATCACACGCCTGCAAACCCGCATCGCTGAGGGTCAGTTCTACGAAGCCCAACAGCAGACGCGCGTGGTTGCCGCCCGTTACATCAAAGCCGCCAACTGGCCCGCTGCAATCGACATCCTCTACAATGTCGGCCAGTCCCTCCTCAAGGCCGGCCAGGGCGGATCTGGTGGCGACCTCTGCGTCTTGCTCGTCGACGTCTTCAAGCAGGCCGAGCTCAAGCCTGACGCTGCGAACAAGGGCAAGCTGCTTACCTGTCTGCGCCTGTTCCCCGCCGAGGAGCCTACGAGGAAGAAGTTCGTTGGAAAGATGATTGCGTACGTCTTTATTTTCTCTATGCATTCGCAGTTAGGGGTCTACGACTTGTCGCGCTGACTATTGTTACACAGATGGTCTTCCAAGTTTGGCGAGTACCCCGCTGGGGACGCTGACCTGCACCACGTTGCTGGATCGCTCTACGCCGAGGAACACGACACCTACGAGGCAGAGAGACATTTGGTATTAGGAACGAAAGACTCGGCTGAGGTCCTCGCCCGCATGGAATATGCATGGTACAAGGAGGACGACTCGCACACGGCCCCGCTCTACGCCGCCCGCGCCATCCTCCCCTACCTCCTCGTCGGCAACCTCCGCGCAGCCAACACCAGCTACCGCCTGTTCACCTCCTCGCTGAGCGACGACAACAAGGGCCTCGGTGTCCAGGACGTCAGCAGCAACAGCGCCGACCTGCGCATCTTCCCAGGCCTCCCACTCCTCAACTTCCTTGGCCTCCTCCTGTTGGCCGTGCAGCGCGGCACCCCGGACGTCTACAAGCAGCTCGTCACGAAATACTCATCCAACATTTCCGAGGTCGGCGCCTGGAATGAGGCGCTTGAGCTGATTGCCGAGATGTACTTCGGCATCTCGCGCCCGCGACAGAGCAACCCGCTCATGGATATGATGGGCAGCCTGTTCGGCGGCGGAGCCGGCGGTGGTGCGCCGCAGCAGCGACGGCCTGCGCCGAGACGTGTGGAGGCTCCCCAGGCCGAGGGACTAGACTAGATGCACCAGTTGTTCGGCACAAATGCTCGTCGTTCTCGATGAGCATAACCCTAATGAACACATGTGGAATGAATGCAAACCCCGGTCTTCATAATACTGGGTGAAAGTTGGCTTTGCACCGCGATCAGAAGGCACGGGGCGGTTCCGCCTCTGCCTCGTACATCCAGTTGTCTTCGGCGAGAGCAGCAACCTTTGCCCTCAAACTAGCCCTAACGGCTTCGAGCAGCTCTGCATAAATTCAATCAGGACCAGCTCGCCCCAAGGGATGTTAGATAGCAACAACAGGGAAGCCGCTTACCTTCTGGTTGTTCGCGGACCGCTGTATGGTTAACCTGGTGCTGCTTCACAGCCTCCGCCAGCCTCTGCCGCTCTTCTAAATGAGTAGTTAGCATATTTGTAGCTCTATACCCTTTCAATGCAAACATCAAAATGAAGTAAGCATCTTCGTAACTGGGGGCTCAAAGGACGTACTCTTGCTCTCTTCCCGATCATCCAGCGCAGCCTCATCCACGTCGTCAAACACGAGCGTCGGCAGCTCTCCCAACTCAATCTCACCATGCTCGTCGCGGACGACAATCTCAGTCAGCTGTGGAGTAGCCGCTCCGCCATCAGAAAGCACATCAACGTCGAGTCTCAGCGTCTCCGCTCCGTTCCCGGGCGAAGTGACCCCCGATGCCCCTGCCACGGCCATACCGCCCGCACCAGTCGCCGTCGTCGCGTTTGCAGCCGTGGTGCCCGTCGGTCTCCTAGTCAGGCCCTGGAACAGATTACGTCGCACCGCCCGTCGCGGAGCACCAGGTGGAGGAGCCTGTCGCGAAGTCCTGTCCGCCATGCTGATGAAGTGGGGGGTGGGCGTGTTTGGCGGGATTGTGTTGGTTTCTTTTTTTTTTTTCGTTCCTTTCTTTTCTGGCCGCAAAGATCGCCCTTTGTTTGCAGGATAATGTCTTGTCAATTACAATTTAATGTTGTTCAAGGGATGCCGATGTTATACAGGACCGGATACGGATAGGGATGTGGCTTGTAAATTAGTGTTGTCGTGGTGGTTTTTTTCCCTTTGTCGTTGCGGTGCCACCCCTCTGTTTACATGAAGGTGTGAGGTCGCCCAGGCACCGCTGCCCAGTTTATCGATAAACTACAGTGTTGTTTAGGTGCCGTCTAGAACCCGCACGGTGTTGCCGTACTGGGGATACAGCGTCTTCTCGATAACATATTAATTACTGTGGCCTTGTCTTGCATTATCTCTATCTACTACTTAGACTTTAAATTTGAGTTCTAAATTTCCCCAAGCGACTTTTTTGTTAAGGCTAGACACCATAATATCCTTAACCTTGTGAAATGGGGCCACCTTCATAACCTCGAATTTGCCACGCTTGATACTGTTTAAGTCGATTTTCTGAAGCTGGTGTATGACCGAATCCTCAGGGACAGGGGGGCTAAACCAGTCTTCGAGCGATTCCTGGTTATAAAACAGGTCCTTGTCTAGGAGACTTCGTGGTAGATGAAGTCCCCAAGCGTCAAGCATAGTCTGTAGATCTGCGTAAACCAGTCCTCCCAATGTGATCTCTGGATCTGAGCCAAATCTTGGTTTCATCTCTGTATGTTTGTAGCCGACAAAACAGACTGATGGATCAGCCCCATACTCAAGGTAGATCAATATGCGTTCTTTCCATGTCGTCCCTGACTCTGTCCATCCTCTTGTTCGTGAAAGTTCAAATAGTAGCAGCGTCCAAGGTGTCCACGAAGGTGTGGGACAATAAGGATCGGAATCTAAGCCAGTCTTTACCAAGTAACAGCTATCGTGTAGTTCAAAGTTTTGTCCTCCCTTCAGACTAAGTAAAAGCTGAGTCATTTTCAGTTCGTCTTCTCTGGTTCCACTTGCCCCCAACCAGGGCTCGAGAATGTCACTGCCCACTTGCGAAAGTGTTGAGACTAAAAGGACAGGGCTCACGTAGGCGACGTCCAGGTTCTGCCGTTGGATTGTCTCCCACACAAACCCAAACGCATGCTGTCGAACTGCATTGCAGAGCATTACAACCCCTGGATTACCTGATATGGTGATCGCGGTTTCCCAATCCACAGTGATGCGGCCCAAGTAATCTAAACTCGAAATCATATCGTTCAGTGCCGCGCGTTTTATAAGCATTTCTTTAAGGACCTCGAATTCTCTGAACATGTTATTAGAACACTCATGCTCCGTGTCCACGACTAGCCGAGCCAGATGACCAATTAGCGGCAGCTGTTGATGAACCAGGCCTGTTCGACGAACCGGAGTCATGTTTGAACTCCGGAAGCCGTGATTTGCTGATAGCTCCGTTCTTCTCAGTGGACTGTGCTTTACTATAGCGAGTATTCCAAGAGCCAGAGTGCGGCGCGTGTCGAATTCTCCGGACAGCTTGCGTAAATCTACCAAGGTCTCTTGCTCGCTCAGAAAGTCTTGTACCGTCTTGTGAACGAATTCCACGCGATGACAATATGGGGGTGATAGGCCAGTATCGACGATGTGAATTAACCCGCAACACCGACCACTTAATCGGTGAGTCATGGAAACACACTTTGAATCGCACTCATTGCTGCTCAGGAATGGGCCTAGCCTGCCATCTAGTAGGCTCTTCTCGCATTCGGGATTGTCAAAGAGCTCATCAACGACTGTATGGATGAAGACGTATGATCCAAGATCAGTGGCACTTGCCATCATGAATAGAAAGTTTCTAGCTGCTGCTTGTCGTTCGTGCGCGTCGATTCTTGCCAACATGTGACGGAACATGGTATGGAGCTCGAGCGGCAGAGCATCCAGCCTTTTGTGGAGTTGCTGTATCGAACAGTAATTTCCGATCCCAGCCAAAAGAGATCGAATAACCAGAATAACCCAGATAAACGCTCCATCAGCTTTATTGACAATCGAATAAATGAAGTTGTCGTACCCTATGCTGATCTGACGGGCTTCGACGAACCGCTCATCACCGGCGAACTGTTCATGAACAACTCGAAATATATCTTCTCGCGTCAACTCATGTAATTTCAGCCACGAACCCGTACTTGGCGCAAAAACTTTCAAGAACTCGTTGTACGGTCGACTCGACAAACAGAGCTTGACATTTGTACCCGAGCACCAGCTCTTGAGGTACTTGGCCAGCTTCCAGTAGTCTCCTTCAAATTCATCAAGCCCATCAATGAAAAAGCACATGCTGTGCTTACTAAGTAGCTCCTGACTGCTGATAAGGTTCTTAAAAGTCGCTTCCAGAAGCGGTAGGTTGATATCAGACTCCTGAATTATACCGTCGCACGCCTTTTGCCAGAGGCTAGGGAAGACTTGCTCAATCAAGTCAGGTCTAAGCTGAAGCACTTCCCACAAAATGCTTCTATAGAGCCCTTCAATGCTCTTCTGAAGCATAGTACCGGAATTCCAGAAGAAGAATTGGCTAAGCAACAGATCTTTTCCATCCTTGCGCGCCCAGGCTTCAAGAAGATTTCGTGTAGCCGGGTCTTGGCCGATGCTTTTCATGAGGGTCGATTTTCCTGAACCGGGCTTCCCTGTAATGTAGAAGAAGCCATTCTCACTTTCTAGCCAACTTTTGAAGCGCTCTCGCCAAATTCGTCTTTCGCCCTGCTCTGTGCCTAGTCTATGTGTTGCATATATGAAGGTTGATTGTGACTCAGTTTGGCGTTGAGATTGGGTTGTTTCTGTCTGGCGTGGTCCTCTCATCCTCTGGTCTCCTTCGATGTCTTCTTCTCCTTCATCTTCTTCGCTACTCTCTTCACCATCATTTTCATTTTCATATTCGTGATCATCTCCGTAATATTCTTCGTAATCTTCGTCGTCTACACTACGGTCGAAGTAGACGTTATCATCAGACACATCTGAAAGTGTTTCCGAGTTACCCTCCCAATGCTGTTCTGGATCGGTGTCCGGGTCATGCAAGAGCCAACGATACGTTCCTCGATGAGCTTCCTCAATCGAAAAGGCTCGGGTTTGCAGCTCAGAGAACCATAGCTTATCCAAAATCTGTCTTTCTGCACTGGTAGTCTTCATGGTGTTTGACATTTTGTGCAGCGCATCGCGAATCTCCCCAAGAACGTCGCCATGAGCTGACAATGTGTTGTTGGCATCCTTTGCCTGAGCCTTTTGCATCGAGTGGACGGCGGCAATAATTTCGTCTTTAGCTTTTTGATACTCTTCTCTGGTTTCTTGAGCATTCGTAGCGTCCAAAGCTGTCTGTGACTTGACTTGGTCATGTGTATCTTGATGCTCCTCTCTAGAATTTATGTCAGTCGAAGTTCCAAAGTGAAACAAACATACCCTTCGTACTTTAGGATAAAGAGCAATTGGCTTAGTATCTGACTTCGATACCTGTCCAACCTCTTCTCCAATTCCTCCAGCTTGCCCTTCTGGCGCAGAGCTCTCCAAGCGACGCGAAAACTGTCCTTCCGAGACCTAGGCTCCTTGCCCTTGACCTTCTCGACTAATTGCTGCAACTCAGCACACGTGCTTCGGCAATTATTGGCAAGCGTGGCAAAGGCCTTGTCACTTGCTGAAGGAGTCGGGTTGTGCTGGGATATAGAAAGCCGGCCCATATAAGACTCGAGGCTCTCAGTAACGACGGCTACATCTTGCAGCTCTGCTGGGAGGCCAGAAGCCGATTGATAGACCTTGGCGGCATCGCGTACGAGGTTCGAAGAAAAATCGATAAACTGCACAATATTCGAAGCGAGGCCCAGCGCCGCGAGGGACTCCATACTGACTATTGGCCAACCTGAATTGCGTAGCGATGAGCAGCCAAGGGAATGAGACGCGGCAAAGGAGAAGTAGGGCCTCTATTACCGCCGCCTGCTCTTCAGCTACTTGACTCTGAGTTGCGCTAGCGAAGGTGATTGCCAGGTTTCGGTTGCGATGTGAGCATCGATGAGGAGTGGAATGACTTAAAAAAGCCAACCGGTTTAAGAAGAGTGAGTGTTTCTCAGCCTTAATGTGTAAATGCGCATCGTTGGGGAGAGCCATGCAGTTCGCCTCGTCCGCTCCTGCATTGGGCAGACCGACATAAAAGGCACCACCTCGTTGGGCGTTCTTCAGCCCTCCTACATAACCACCCAGCTGAACATCACCCATTTTTACACCTCACGAGTATAACATACACCTACAAACATGTCATAATCACCACACACAATCAAATCAGACAACATAATTCATTAAAAAGAGGCCATGTACTCGTCGAATTTTTTGTTACAGAACCATCCTAGCATCGCCATGCATGATTCCCATTACGTATCGTACATTAAAAACTCCCATACCATGTTAGAGGCATCAGAACCGTCACCCAGAACCCAGATTACCACCAAGAAGAAGAAGAAGAAGTAAGGAGAAGGAAAAAGTGAAGAAGAAAGGAAACAAAGTAAAAACCGCACATGAGAAAAACGCCGAGATATGCATAAGGTACCCCGAACCAACCTGTGTCATGACCGCTAAAGTCCCCCAATTTTTTTTCGACATTGCCCTTGGAGTTTCCAAGAGGCATGATAAATTCAAGATCCCCTTCATCCCACACATACCCACTCTGCAAAGACGCACCAACGAGCGGTGCGATCTGCTAGTACGAGTCCCCTCCACACACCCTTCTCTGAGCACTTGATAATGGTCTCCCAAGTGCCACCGTCGCTAACCTCCTCCTCACTTCCTCTGCCGCCAACGCTGATTCCCCGACGATCCTCCTTCCGCATAAGACGGAGGATCTTGCCACCAGGGGTTTGGATGGCCAGTTTTGCCGGTTTCTTTCCTGAGGATCCCGAAGCCACGCCGGAGGTAGACATGCTAACGTTCGAGGCTGTCATACTCAGAGCTGAGCTTGGTCTTGCGAATGGGATCGGACTTGCGCCTCCGGGGTTCGATGAAGGCGTCATCACTGATCCTCCGCCGCTTGTAAGGGAGCTTGGGTGTTGGCGGATCGCGAAGACGAAGGTGTTGTTCAGAGCCAGACGTTGACATTGAGGCTGAACAACATAGATGTCGTGACGTTGTGCGTGAGGTGTTGGATGCCTCGTCACGAATTCGTATGGGGGGTTCTCTCCCGTATGAATTATCGGCAGTGCAAACGCTGTTGGATGGGGGATGTCCTTGATGCTGTGCATCAGACCGCGCTTACCGGCGTAGATCTTCAAGATTCCCTGTCCTTCGTCGCCGGGCAACAAAGCCTTCACTGTGTATCGCTTGATACCGTTGAACCATTCGGCTTGGGCCAGTGCTCTCTTCTTTACCACCTCGCCGCTCTCGAAGACATCGCCGTCCACATCCCTCGTGTAACCTCGAACCTCAACCTCGGCTGCAACCTCTACATCGGCTGGTACATTGAACTTGATATGTACCATCTCTAGGTCTTCTATGCGAGTTGCAGCCGTATTGTAGTCAACCATCTCCAGCTCATTCTTGAAGAAAGGAGGGCAGGCGCAGGGCAGGTTGAGAAGAACTTCATGCGCTTGCGGAGGGCAAATATGCTGCTGAGCGTGGTGTTCAGGAATATGCGTCCAGCATATTTCAGTCGGTCGTGCGAGGAACCACCAGAGGTCGGCTGCGCTGTTGCCGGCACTCGAGTAGAGATGCCTCCTTGGATAGGATGGACTGGCTATGCAACAGTCCATCATACGCCACTCGTTGTCAACCAGCACCGCGTTCCACCAATGATTTGCCCGAGGCATGATGTTGTGCTCTGGAATTTCGCCTGGTGTCTTGAGATATCCCCGAACCATTTCACAGTGAATGCCTACAGCGGAGCACATCTCCTGCACTAGAGCAGCATACTCCTCGGCGCATGCTCGTTTCGATTGAACCACTCTTCTTGTGTCGATCTCTCCTTCGACGTCGTCTTCCCAGCAGATCTTCTCTGATACCCAGGTAAAAATTGCTCGCAGCCTTTGAACGTCGCTGCGGTACGGACGACAAACGTAGGTAGTTGCAAGTGATAAGGCCGTCGTCATTGCGGGAAGACTGCTCAAAAACCTCGAGTTCTTGTCGACTTGGGTGAGGTTCAGGGCTTGATAGTCGATGGGATCCTCCACTGGCAACCCATCAGCCCCTTCATCGCCCTCGACGCCTTCGTACAGCTCGTCGACTGGATTCAGCGCCGGATAGTCGAGCATTTGACATCGGTCTCTCCGTTCGTTCCTTTCGTTCTTGCTTAATGAGTTGGATCGATTGACATCCCTCCGCACCTGCACCCAATCGACACCATTGGCGGCGCCCATATCCCTGGCAACGTCCCTACCGAAACCAGTGCTCCCCAAGGCAGACAGGTTGGAAACGCTAGCACCAGCCTGAGAGGCAACATTGGGCATAGACCGAGCAAAGGGCGATGACCTTGGCGAGTCGCCACCCATGGCAATACTACTGCGCCCGGATGCCACCCCAGTCTTTGCTGTATCGAGGAGTTTCTTGAAGATGTTTCTTTTCGGAGGTTTTGGAGTAACAAGCCCCCCGAGTCCTGCATCCTCGTGAAAACCAACTTGCGATTTCGGCCGAGCCGCCTCGGATGCGTGACTGCTGTGGTATGTGACTCCAGTGAAAGGAGTCTCAGGTCGTTCAATGTCAGCATCACGCATTCCCAAGGCACTCTGGGCACGCTTTTGGGTCTTCCGAGCAAAACTGCCTGCGCTTGTAGCGCTAATGGCGCCAGCTGAGGAGCCACTCATTAAACTCCTGTCGCTGCTCTGGGTTGTCGAACTCTGGTTCCCGGACGATGCGCTGGTAGAGTTGGTCTTGGTCGTAAAAGTCCTGTTCAGCACGTTCCGGCCGATATCGTATGCTGATTTCCGCCCTCGCAGCTTCCTCTCCTCTGTCGCGCCCATGGAAGACTTGGGTCTCTCGTATAGTGCGCCTTTCGGTGGCGGCTTCGGTGCCTCATCCTCAAGGTCAGCCATGCTTGCGCTGTGTTGGTGCATTTTTTTCAATCGGCTTTCCATACGTTCGACGTAATTACTGAGTTGAGGCAGTTGCTCCTTGTCCTCCCTATGTCCATGCTGGTAGGACTGGTCGCGTGAAGACCCGCCGCTCCAAGTTTCGTAACCTTCGTCTTGCTGGGCGATTCCCATCGATGTCTGTGGTCTCTGGTAAGTGTTCTTTCTCCTCGCGCGGTCGTTGACCATGTTGAATGACTCGGGTGACCAAGGGTCCAAAGGCGGCTCCGGTGTTGGGTCTCGAGGCATTCCAAGGGCGTCTAGCTGCTCTATTACGCCGTCCATTGCCTCCCGTAGTGGGGAAGGAGTCATATGGCTCGCTGCAGGAGACGGCGGAGACGGGGACGGCACCCTTTGGGTCTGAATGGCTGGTGGTCGGTGGGAGTACGACAAGTGCGAGCCATTCCTGTCCAGCGGGGGATGTCGGTTCTCATACGAAGCGTTTGAACCTTGACGCACAATATCGACTCGCTTGTCAAAGGAGCTGTTTGAGCCATGCCGCCCTGCGTTGAAACGATCGTCATAGGAAGAATTGGACCCGTGACGCGGAACATCGTGTCGGCTGTCATAGGATATACTTTGTTTATGTCGCGGCGCTCCAACGTGACGATGTGGCGGTGGTGCTGGGGGCGGTGGAGAATCGACCTTCCCTTGCGGTGGGCGGTAAGGCTTATAGCTAAACGAAGGTGCGGGGGAAGGATCTCTGGAGCCACGATGCGGAGGGGGTAAAGGCGACTGGTCCCTGTCCGTGTTGTAAGAATTGACCCTCGATGAGTGGCCGTAGTCAGGGACTGGTGTTCTCGACCGAAGCTCATGATCAGGGACTGGTGTCCTAGCCCGGTGGTGGTCAGGCACCGGCGTTCTAGCACGATGGGTATCGGGGATCGGTGTTCTAGCACGATGAGGATCCTGAACAGGCGTCCTTGATCGATGGTAATCTGGTATCGGGGTGCGCCCTCTCGAAACGTACTGCTGGGCACCGTCGTTGAAAGAGTTGCCCCGCGATACGTAACCGCTGGGGGCTGGTGACGTGTAAGCTCGCAATCTAGTCGAGGCAGTTTCGTTGAATGAGTTCTCCCGAGAGACCAATGCCGACGGTGCTGGAGACCGATCCCTTCTTGTAGACTCAGGAAGAGCGCTCTGGATCGACTCCCCCGAGTGTCCCCTTGGCCTCGCGTGCGGGTTCGTCCGGTAAACCTCGGGTTGTTTCGCTGCGGTGTAATGTGGTGCCTTGGCGTAGGCCTCGAATGGCTTTCGGAATGTCCTTGACTTTTGAGGTGTGCCTGGGCTGGGAGCTTTGTCCGCAGGTAGAGGGCTGGCGGTTCTCGTCGTCGGGCGGAAATCGGCCGGAAGGACCTCGACAAAGTTGGACGGAAACACTCCTACAGTCCTCCTATCTCGCCATAGCCTACCAGTCCACCACGAACCGTCACCGGCGTTGAGACACTCAATCAAATCACCCTCGATGAAGCCGAGATCTCGCTTGGACTGCGACGAAACAAGTCAGTTACTGAATAAGCATTCGTACACCCACACACGTATGTTAACAGACCTCTCCTCCCCAAGAGTAGACGGCCCTGCACCAGCACGGAAACCGCGTCGGTAGAGGCAGCGGTGCTGGTACCATCTTGGGATATTGACTGTGAAATGACGGCAGGCAAAGCAATCGGCCAAACACAAATGGCGATTCTTATTTTTTGATATTTGTGCCTTTGTCGCGGTTGCGGAGCCCGGCACTTGGCTCGCGCTGAAGGAAGTTTATTCGACGCGATCTTGTAAGTTGCGATGGGCAGCCGTTTCCACACAAAAGTAGGACAGCCGCACAAGACTAGGTCGAGAAAACGATGACGAAGTTTCAAGCAACAACCCGCAGCGAAGCGAGACGAGACGAGGCGAGGCGACAAACGGGGCTCAGGTGGTCAAGAGTTGGAGGACTCTGAGCACACTCGTCGGAATTGTTGGCTTGTAGACGAGGTGAGGAATGTAGCGAGTTTCGCGTGCACATTGACGACAATGGGCTTGTTGGAGTGGGTAATCATGAATCGGAGTTGACATGAGATGGCAAACGAAACCGGGCACGACTTCCAAGAAGGGGATGCGGTGAATGTCAGTGCCAGCCGGGGGGCGGACCCGGGGCAACCAACAAACAGAGGGGCTTGTTGGGGGGGCAACAACTCCAAACACTCCCGCCCTGCCAACTGTAAGGGCGCCAACCTGGGGTGGGCTCTCCAGTTCGGGGCTCCAGAGGGCTGCAAGCCTGCAACGGGTTGCGACCTCCTCTGCGGCTGGCGCATCTCCACCGGTCACTAGCGGGTCCCCTTGGCGTGCCGCTAAGCCTCGCCTGGCACATCTGTGCCCCCTGGAACCATGGTCACCGCCTACGATGCCGAGCAAGGTACCTTGTCTTCTTTTTTTTTGCGTGTTCTTTCTCTGTGCTCTCCAGGTAACCTTAGTGCCCATGGTGCACTGACGATTCCTCGTCTATTTTACCACTACGTACCTAGTAATAGCAGTAGAAGTCCCTTGACGTGGTGTTCTGGAGCGTTGCTACTAGTTGAAGTACGGCTAAGGCCACCGAGACAATACCCCTGCTTCCTGGTCACATCGGCAAAAGGCTTGTATGTTTCTACCTCTGTCTCCCAGCAGCCAGTGCCAGCGAAGCCAACATTGAGAAGGGCCTACCTTGGAAGACACTGGGGCACAGGCAACGCTATCTGATGTATCTCATGGGGCCCTGCATGCCACATCAACCGACTAGACTATATGGATAAGCATGAATGGATACCAACCATCTGCAAGGCAACGCAACGCAGACATCACTGGCCTCGACCACGAATGAGACCAAGATAGTCATACACAATGGTAAAAGATGTAAGAAATGGTCACACTTGCATTCTACTGGCATGCAAACGACGCAAGGCACACGACAGTCTTCCTGTCCTGCGACTCATATCACATTTCTGTTCCGCTCTGCATATTCCCCCCCCATCTTAACCATTACTCTCCCGCGCTGCCCACCATCAGTTTTTTTTTTTTTTTTCTCCTTTTTAGTCCTCTTTTCTTTGTCTGCGACTTTTTCACGATGCTTCAGAAACAGCGGCTTCACACCGGCACTTTTTCGTTTGCTTTTCTGTATCAAGATCGGCTGACTCGCCCCGGCTCATAGAACCCTGGTGCTAATTACGGCTCCCCGGAGCTCCCCCAGCTATACCAAAACGGAAGAAAGTAAACAAAGGGGCCCGAGCTTTGCGACCGAAAGCACCCACAGAATCACACACCACACATCATCCACACACACATACACACATAACCCAGGCTACCAGACTACCAGACTACCGCACCGTTGCGCAACGCACCTTGACCTAGCCCCCTCGCTCGCCCTGGCCCTGGGATACCCGACAAACCGCTGCTCTCCCGAGCAACCCCAAGCAACCGATCCAGCGAACAACTCGCTTGCTTCTTAGAGCCATTCTTGCTTTCGCTCCGTCTGAAATACAAACTCAGGCCGTCCTGACTGACAGACGACAAGCCCCGTTCCCTGGATACCCATTTCTTCTTCGAAACTCTCTTCCAGCACCATCCTGCACGCGCGCTCTTTCGCCTTCCCATTACCCTCCGTTTTCGGGCTCCAGGGTTGAACACCAGTTCATCCCTCTCTCGTGCTCCATCTCTGCTGCCGGAGTTTATTGAATTGAGAGATTTAACGGTTCAATGACATCCAAATCGGCCGCAATGGCGGACGAGGGTGTTGCTGAGCACTACCAAGTGTTGGAGGAGCTTGGTCGTGAGTATCCTTCATTCCAGCCTACCGTCGTATATCGCGCTGACAGATTATTCAGGTGGAAGCTTTGGAGTCGTTTACAAGGCCATTGAGAAGGCAACCGGCGAGACTGTCGCCATCAAGCATGTAAGTTGCCTTTGCGTCTACACCTCCGTTGCCCGCCCGCCGCTAACCTGTGGTTGTGTAGATCGACCTCGAATCCAGCGAAGATGACATCCAGGAGATCCAAGGTGAAATCGCTGTGCTGAGCACATGCGCCAGTTCGTTCGTCACCCAGTACAAGGGCAGCTTCTTGCGCGGCCACAAGCTCTGGATTGTCATGGAGTATCTTGGGGGTGGCTCATGCCTGGACTTGGTATGTCACTCTGAATTGCAACTTGCCCGCATTCGACACAACTAACATTCCTCAGCTCAAACCGGCCAACTTTGCAGAGGTCCACATTGCCATCATTTGCCGAGAGCTGCTCCGTGGTCTCGAGTACTTGCACGCTGAAGGCAAGATTCACCGAGACATCAAGGCAGCCAATGTCCTACTCTCCGAGGCGGGCAAGGTCAAATTGGCCGACTTTGGTGTCGCCGCCCAATTGACAAACATCAAGTCTCAGAGAAACACTTTCGTCGGCACCCCTTTCTGGATGGCGCCCGAGGTCATTCAGCAGGATGGCTATGGCTTCAAAGCCGATATTTGGTCCCTTGGCATCACCGCAATGGAAATGGCCAACGGCGAGCCTCCCCTAGCGCATATCCACCCGATGAAGGTTCTCTTCCACATTCCCAAGAACCCTCCTCCTCGCCTTGAGGGTGGTTTCAGCAAGGACTTCAAGGATTTCGTGGCGCAATGTCTCGTTAAGGATTCGGATCGCAGACCCTCGGCAAAGGACCTCCTCCGTCACCGCTTCATCAGATCGGCCGGCAAGGTTGAGGCGCTTCAGGAGCTAATTGCCCGCAAGCAAATGTGGGACGCAAACCAAAACCGAAAGTCGCACACCATCTTTTACCAGGAGACACTGCACACCATCTCTCCTAAGGACGAGTCGGATGAGTGGGTGTTTGACACGGTCAAGTCGGTGGTACCCAGGCGGCCGACTGTTCGGTCGCGGAAGCCGTCCTATTTCGCAGCGGAGGAGGCCATGCGTCGCCTCGACCTCAAGGACGCCCCGCTCGGTCCTGCTTCTCCCGCCTCCGGTACTGTGCGCCGGTCAACTGTGCGCCGCCAGCCCTCGAGCCGCCAAGCATCTGCCACACAGATCCAAGCAAATGGGTCACCTCGTTCAACGGTTGCCAGGAGGCCGCTCCAACCAGACATGTCCTACGGCAACTCTGGCTCCTCCGTGAGGCTCTTCCGCCGGGTCCCCTCGGACGGCTCCGTTACTGCGCATGCAGATTTCCCCACTTCTCCCGATGCAACCGTGGGCAACGAGAACAGGGCGCCAGCAAGAGGAGCATCCGTGGAGCCAAACAGCAAGGAGGCCCTGCTTGGCCGGCGACTGTTCAACAAGGCTGTCGACCCCACTCTCGCCGAGTTGCACGCCCAAACTTCGGGCCTACAGAAGCGGGAAGCATTGGCCAAGCTTACCGATGCCTTTGCTCTTTTGGACTCGGTTGACCCCGAAGGCGCCTACCATCTTATGCGCAACTTGATGGGAGCCGTCTCCCAGGACACCAAGCTGAACGCAGCCTTGATGCCTCAACAGTCGATCAAGATCCCTTCGGACGGCACACCTCAGGGCACGGTCATCATCAAGAGTGCAGCGGTCACGCCTGCGGGTAGCCCCACCAAGCTGGTGATGGCATCAAACAACCCGCACCTGAAGAGCCACAGGAGGCGCAACGGATCGTTCGCCACGCCCGAGTCGACCGAGAAGGAGCGAGACAAGGAGAAGTCGGCCATGGAAGCCAAGTATCCCGGCCGCGCACCCCGACCAGGCATGGAGCACTGCAAGCAGCTCTCTGATGTGCTCTATGGTCGGTGGACGGAGGGACTGAGGATCAGATGGCCAGCGGTCTAAGTCCGCGGGACTCAAAGGCAATGCAACACCCCCACGAGACACGCTAGAAGGGGGGGGGTTGGCATTCCATTATTCACGAGACACGCTGTATGATGAGAGTGTATGACCACGCCACAGCATACGGGTTTGAACAGTACACAAAAAAGCATTGGGAGGGGTTTTTTTAAACATTTGGGAGATTGAGAGATACCGGGTTTGGATTTTTGCTTCTTTCGCTTTTTCCGAAGAAGACGCCGACGGCTCGACTCAGCTGGTGTAGGTCTCATTATTGACGATCTATCTACCTGGTCGACGAGGGCTGTCTCCGTCACACAAAGTTGGCGTTTTGGTTTGTCTGGTTTTTCTGTCCTTTTTCAGGCACTAGGTAGATACCTTGTAGATAGAGTCCAAGTTTGCGTCCACAATAGAATGATTTGCGCAACACAACTGTTTTCGTTACCTTCCATCTTTGCTCTGGTGACAGAATTCTCATCTTTGTTATCCTATTATTCTACAATGCCTATGACTCTGGCACCGTCTCCGGTGCCGTCTCCGGTGCCGTCTCCGGTGCCGTCTCCGGTTCCGGCTCAGGCTCAGGCGCAGTGCTCTTCATTGACAGTTTGATTCTCCAGTTAATGAACTCGTCCGTCAGAATCTCTCCATGGCCAGCCTCTTCGACTCTGAAAACTTCAATGGTAGGGTTCCCCGGCCGCCTGCGTATTCTCCACACGCCATCGTCGTTAATAGTCTGACGCAGCCCTGCGGATCTCTGTTAGCATCGGATCCCTTGCATACGCCCGCCGAACCCGCAGAGGAGGAAAGAAAATGAAAACAACAACAATAACAATAACAAACAAAACAATATAGTAGACAGTTGGTGAAAAAAAAAAAAAAAAAGTAGACGAAGAAGGAAAAAAAAAAAAAAAAACCTACAAACTAGAAACTCGGCAGCAAAATTGACACACATATCCCCGTTCCATGAGGCCCGTCCGCGCCGCTGTACCGTATCGGGTATCTTTTCCGTCTCAATCTCCTCGACGCTGGTGAGTATGCCTCTGTTGCTCCGGAAGCCGACAATGATTTTTGGTACGCCCAGGAGGAACGACTGGATCCAAAACTTCATCAGTTTGCGGTGGAAGTTGTCGACGTCGCGATCGTCGCGGATCGCGAGGCTCGTCTTGAGCTCGACCCAGTTCGTGGGCGCGCCTTGTTTCGCGGGTTTGCAGTCCCAGACTTTTGCGAATGTCAGCTGGTTTTCCTGAGGGGGCCTTTGAGAGAGGGGCAGCGGGCTGTACCGGCGTCGACTTCGCCTCCTATGCAGATTACCGTCTGTCCTATGCCCGTTCGGACTACGGAGCAGTACTGCGCGTTGTTGTTCACCACTTCTTTTTCTCTATTCTCGATGTATTCTCTGGATGTGTCGCCCCAGGGGGCGGGAAGAGTTGCCAGAGTTTCAAACTTGTACCCTTTGTAATGTTAGTAGAGACCCTCATAGGGCCGTTGGTTGTGAGACTCACCCCAGAACTGCATCACTTCCGGCGGAATCGGTCCCCTTCTCTGCTGGGCGTTCTGCTGTTTCTGTGAGGCTACTTTGTACTCATGGTTCTCCTCGATGAATCTGCTCTCATGTTAACGTGAAGCCTTGCCATGTGGCAGAAGTAGGTTTCATACATGCAATCCTGAGTTCAGTCAGCTCAGTCAATTCCAGGCGTGGGAGTTGTCAGCGCACTTGATATAGCGTTGCGTTCATCTCGAAGCTGTGAAGGTCGTCAACATCTTGTTAAATCAGACGTGCATCATTTCTGCAGAACTGACCCGTCACGATCTTCAAAGGGGGATGCCATGATCTGTGAGCTGTTTAGTTAAAGTCGCTCAGACAACAATTTGCAAACGCTTACCTTGGTCATCATGCCGCGCCATGTCACAATCTGGGCGTCAATCTTTTGCCCAGTTTCCTCCTCGTGAGCTTTAATGGTCTTGAGAAGACTGCCAAGATGCTCGGCCTTGGAATCATCATGCTTAATGAAGCTGTCATATCCTTCAGACAAGTCGACACCCAGCGATGGGTTGTAATAGTATCTCAGTGATGAGTCGTCCAGGTGAAACTCGTGATTATCATCATATGAGAAGCATGCAAACTCCTGTCCATTACATATTAATTACCGAGTTCCTGTTGAGCAGGTATACAGTGGGCTACTCAAGGGCGTGAGCATGGTTGGCGGACCAGACGCGTTCACTTACTTTTGGCCGTTTGACGGGCTGGCTGGCACCGTAAAAGCGCCCGATGGGCTGAATAGAGAACTCATTTGACATGATTAAAGATCCTGTGAGGGCTGTAACTTTACTAAAGGCTAACAAGGATCTTATTTCATTCGGACTTTCATGGTCAGAACTCGGATGAGGGATGAACTCGGGCCGGTCTCACCGTCGGTGTCGGGAGGTGTAAAGGGAGCGTTGTGGCGCGTGAACACGGCAAGCGGGGCAGGCGGGATGGTGAACAATCCGGGGCGGTGGGGAACCAACCTCGACCGCTGAAGCGAGCCACTAACAGCCCTGGACAAGATCCAGACAACACTGAAACGTGCATGCGCATGGCTGGACTGGAAGCACCCGAGCCCCTAGCTGCAGCTGCCCAGCACCTCGAGGAAGCCCGCCTAAGCTTGCCCAATCCAACCACGGTTTTCGACATCCAAGAGCCTCAACCTTGAAGCTAGCCTACGACACACTTCAAGACCACGACCGAGAGAGGGATCATCGCCGCTCATTCGATATCCCTGAACTCCTTCGATATATATTCGACCTGCTTTAGTTACGACAACTTTCCTGATCCGCGATGCGATACCATCCCCTCCCGAGCGTTTAAAGAGCTACATCCACCAGCTCCCTCAGAATGTCGAATCGATACGGCGGTGGATACCGCAACGGCAACGGCTATGGAAACTTTGGGAGACGCGAAGAAGATTATGATCCCTACGGAGACGGTTACGGAGGCAGTGGTGGTGGTGGCGGGGGCGGGGGCGGAGGAGGAGGAGGAGGCGGCGGTGGTGACAGAGAAAGAGAACGAGGCGACCGGTATGCCGTGGGATCTCCGCCGATGAACCCTCGATCACCACCAGGCCTTCGAAGCGCGGGACCGCCGCCCGTACGCAGCCGCGAGCGCATGCAGGAAACGAATGCGGAGCGGCAGATCGGTCAAGTTCTCGAGCACATCAAGCAAGAATGGCCGGCCATGTGCCAAACCGACTGCGTACCCGTGCAGCTAGCCCTGCAGCTCCTCGACACCAGCTCCGTAGGCCGCGCCCACGAGTACCGCAAGTTCCAGCAGACGCACTTGTATCTCCAAGACTCCCTGAAGGGCATCGTCCACGAGCACCACCAGGGCTTCAACAGCTCCATCGGAACGTTCCACAAGATTCAAGGCAGTATACAGGCATCGCAGAAGAAGGTGCGCACGCTCAAGGAGTCATTGCTGACCTCCAAGGTGAGCCTCTGCACGTCGGACCCAGATCTCAAGAAGTTCTCGGCCGCGTCGCAGGCTTATGATGAGCTGTTAACTACGCTGAACGAGTTGGAGGAGTTGCGCCTGGTGCCGGATCAGTTGGAGGCGAGAATTTCTGAAAAGCGCTTCCTAAGTGCCGTTGAGGTCCTGCAGAATGCGTTACGGAAATTGCGTAAACCTGAGCTGGACAATATCGGTGCCTTGAGTGATCTGAGGGGCTATCTCGCCAACCAAGATACGGCGCTGATGGACATCCTGGTGGAAGAGCTTCACGAACATTTGTATCTGAAATCGCCATACTGCCAGGAGAGGTGGCAGAATCTAGCCAAGACGCAAGGCGCCTTTAAAGATGGCAACTATGAGGCGATTACAATCTCTCCTTTCCACCAGATCTTAGACGCCATGGACTTTGAACATAAGGCGACAGAGGACCCCGCTAAGAACCCAGAAGCCGATACCTTCTCCTACGTGTCACTGCTGGTGGAGTCTTTGAACAAGTTGGGAAGACTGGAGACGGCCGTCGACACCCTCAAGCAGAGGTTGCCAGTCGAGCTCTTCACCATCGTCAACGAGACCCTCAATGAAGTCGACCAGCGGCACCCAAGCTCATTACGTGGCGGCTCTGCCAACTCCCAGGGATTGCACATCTACGGCAACAGGGAGACGCAAATGAGAGCTGATGTGATCTACGACTTATTATGGACGCTCTTCGGCAAGTTCGAGGCTATTGCCGAAGGCCACCGAGTGTTCCACGAATCGATCAAAGCACTCATCCGGAGGGAAGGCGCTGGAAACAACAGCGCTCTCCTAGGAAGCTTCAAGGAGCTATGGAACCTGTACCAGAACGAGATTCGTTCTCTGCTGCACAACTATGTCACAACAGACGCTGACGTTTACCAATTCAACTCGTCACCGAAGCCCGGCGCGAACGCTAATGGCAAGAAGGATGCTGCTAGGGAGCATTTGTTCAAGTTTGCCGAAGGCGATCCTAAGGCTGTGGATATGGCTACAGAATACGAGGCCCTCGAGGGTATCATCCGTGCTGCTGTGCCTGGTTTGACCGACACGTCTCGTAAAGGCGCAGACAAGAAACGATCGATGTTGGACGGCGGCAGTTCCAAGAGGGGGACAGCGGCAGGCTGGGAGAACAAGCAAACAACAGGCACTTACAAGTCTCTTGTTGAGCCCAGTGTCTTCAACATGAGTCTACTTCTGCCGCCCACACTTGTCTTCTTGCAAAGGCTCAAGATGATCGTTCCGCCAGGCTCAGACCTTGCCACCAGCACACTGACGTCCTTCCTGGATAACTTCTTGGTCAACGTCTTCCAACCCCAGCTGGATGAAACACTGGGCAAGCTCAGCGACACCATCTTCGGCGAAGTCGACACTTTCTTGCAGGATCAGGAGTGGTCACAGGTTGCCAGGCGACCGGTTTTCAAGGGAACCACTGCCTTCTTCGCCGTTGTCACAGCGTTCTGCCGAATGTTGGCCACGATACCCCACGATCAAGCTCTCAGCACTCTCATTATCACTCAAATGATGAGGTACTACGACCGCTGCTTCGGGTGGTATAAGTCACTCGTCAGCAAAACCCAGGCGCAGGCCGGAGAACCCGCGAAGCTGCGTATGTCAGCGGCAATGACTTTAGAGGAAGGCGATGTCCTGGAGACCATCAAGCAATTGTGGACATCCGAAACTCTCGAACGAGAACTCCTGGAAAAGGAAGTTGGCCTGCTCATCGTCCAGACAAATGAGAAGCGCATGGAGCTGGCCGACATCATCCAAGACAAGGATACCATTTCTTCTCTCTGTCTTCTTTACACAAGTATGAAGTGGCTTGCTGTCAAGATCTCCGGTCTGCGGCACATCACCCGCAACGAGTCGGACTCCTCCCGAACGAATCTGGCCAGGGGCTCAAGCAAGCGATGGACCCTTATGAACGACCCCAGCAAGGCCACAAACGAGGAGGGACCTGTGTACCTCCCAATGACGCAGGAAACAGTCCAGTAAGTCCCTGCTTCATAGTATCTCGTCCAACCCCTCTAACAGGTATGCAGAGCCTTCGACGGTATTGTCTCCTCCTTTGAGGAACTAGCCGGTACAGCCCTTCTTACATTGCATATGGAAATTCGCACCGAGATCATCTACTCTCTCCGCACCGCTCTCTCCCCAGAAAAGGCCCCCTACCTCCTGGAACAGGAAGTCACGGAGCCGGACCCGCAGATCTTGACCCTCAACTCGGATCTCGTCCTCTACGACGAGACCATCGCGAAGTACCTCCGCGCAAAGGAGACGGCATTCATCCGCACCGGTCTCGGACTGCTAATCAACGCGTACCTCGTCACCAACGCCGCCTTCGTCTCGCCCATGAACGCCAAGGGCTGCGGGCGCATGCAACTCAACATCTTGGTGTTGCAACAGAACCTCAAGAACGTCGAAGAAGGCGTCGACCTCGCCCGCGCGTCCAACTACTTCTCGCTATTCGACAAGGGCCCCGACGCAATCGTCGAAAAGGCCAAGGAGGACAAGGATAAAGACGAGCATGCGGACCCCAGCGACACGTTCACGTACGAGGAGCTCCGCACGCTGCTGGAGCTGTGCTTCAGCGAGCAGCTCTCCAACCCGGAGCGCGGTATCGCGAGCGCGGCGAAGCGGCAGATGGCGGACAAGATGCTGGGGCTCAGCGAGTACATGTGGCAGAGTTGAGGCTAGTTACAGCATGGGAGAAAAATCCGGGTTTGCTTGCGAGGAGTTTAGAGGGCGCGAGGTGCTACTAGATACTGACGCCATTCATGTCAAATCTTGTTTTGGGGGGGTATTATTCTTTATAGTCTATAGCTTTTCAATGCCAAACTTTTCCCAACCAACATGTACATTGAACCAATTTTTCTTTTTCTTTTTTTTTCTCTCTCCTCTTCTTTGGTTTCCCTGCTCTAGTGGCACCTCCCATCATCACAAACGCCCCCCCTTCTCTAAGAAGAAACGAGGTCTCTCCCCCTGTTGATCTGTACCTTCTTATCCTCACCGCCACTAACAATTCCCCAAGTCTTGTCCCATGCGAGCCCGAACACCTTGGCTCCCTCGCCTCCCAACGGCGCCTTCTTGCCCTTGAGCCACTCCCTGCCGATAGTATACACGGCCTCGCTGACGCTGCCGCCGCCCTCGTCCTTGGTCGCCGGCCTCACGCTTCGCAAGTCCCAGATCTTGACGGTGCCGTCGTGCGAGCCGCTAGCCAAGCTGTACTCGTTATCGGGGGAGGGGGCCAGCGCGGAAACCATGTTGGTGTGGCCACGGAGGGTGAGCACCGAGGTCGCCTGGGCAGAGGCGCGGGGGTCGAGGAGGGTGACGTGGCGGGCGGCCGAGCCGGCTGCTACCAAGGAAGAAGAACCCTGCATGGGCGCGATGCAGAGAAGCGGGTGCAGAGTTGTGAGGGTCGAGACGACGCTGGCGGTCTCGAGGTCGAGGGTGCGGAGAGTGTGGTCAGTCGAGGCGGAGTAGGCAACGGTCTTGTCGGCGGGCTTGAAAGCGACGGCGGTGGCGGAGGCGCCCTCGTGGGCATTGATCATGGCCTTGGCGCCCCTCTGGGGGACGGAGACGGAGGAGCCAGCCGTCTTTGCGCGCTTGGTAGGGATATCCTCGACGTCGACCTCGGGTGAGTCCTTCTTGGATGCTACCCACAGACCAACGCGGCCGTCGGCGGAGGCGGTGAGCATCCTCTTCGAAGGGCCGTGGACATCGAGCGAGTTGATCATCTTCTTGTGGCCGTGCAGTTCCAAGGTGGGCTTCAGCTCGCCGGAGAAGCGGTCCGCGGATTCAGTGTACTTCCAGACGACGACCTTCTGGTCCAGTCCGACGGAGGCGATTTGCGTAGACGAGAGGAACTTTGCATCGCTGAGGAGCTTGGAGTGTCCACCAGCGCGAGCAGAGGCGGAGGTCGCGAGGCACTGGCCGGAGCCGTCCCAGATGCGGACGAGGCCATCGTAGCTTGCGGACAGGATACGATCCTGGCCTTGGGTAAGGGCATCGCCGGACCAGATGCCCGCAGGGGAGGTGGCGGAGAGGACGTCAACGGCAGCGACCCAGTCGTCGTGCTCGAAAGAGGCCTCGTAGACGGGAGGCAACAAGCTACGGACGTACTGCAGGGTGATTGTAGATTCGGAGGAGAGGCCGTTGGATTGGAGGTATTCTTCGATAGTCGTACGGAGGAAGTTACCGTTGACAAGAAAGTCGAGAGGTACGGGAGACGAGGTGTTGAGCATCGACTCCGAGTTCAATATCCTGGAGAGGCCATACCGCTTGATGTCTTCGAAAAATTCATGTTAGCTTTCTCTCTCAAGCAATGCTGGCCATTGGCCCAGTGAATTTATGTGGCTCCTTACCTGCTGGCACGAGAAGTTGCCTCTTACTCTCGTCGAGCTGGAGATCTTCATGCGTCGTCGTGAAGTTGACCTTCACCTGGGCCACCGAGGACTCCATTTTTGCTGGCGGTTGGCACCGAGATGCCGGGGTGTCTTGATATTTGGAGGTTAAATGGAATAGTGAGTGTATTTTGTCAGAAGATTTTTTGGCTTCTTTACGAGAAGAAGCGTGTTCGTGCAGCTATTGCGCGTTCGTCGTTCGTCGGTTGGCAGATGCTTCAAGCAAGTAGACTTAGTCTCGTCCCCGTCTAAATTTTTTTGAAGATGGGCTCTCAGCCTTGCAGAATCTTGAACCCCGCTGTCTTGCGCCCATCCAATCACTGTTGCAGCGCAAAAGGGGACGGCCGCTAGGCTGGATTGTGCCCCGCAATCACTAACATTCAGCACAGGGGGGTATGCTGGGGCGGGGACAATAACAGCCGGGGCCCAAGGCGATGGGTGTCTTTTGCTACAAAAGTGACGAGACTTTATCAATGGAAAATAGATTGTGAGCCAATTCACATTGCACAAACTCTGTTGTTCTCTTGCTAGAATTTTGCCTAGCCCATTTGTAAGCCAGTGGACTTATTCAAGTAATCATACATATTGCGGATCTCATCGCCCTAGTCTCCAAGTCTTTGGTCAAGGCCTCGGGACCCCATAACTGCGAAACCCAGTAAACTTAAGCACTGTCTCCTGCGACCGTCTGGTTCTTCGCGGTCTCCACGATGAAAGCTTCCTCAATCGCCGCCCGGCGTCGGAAAACCCTGAGCCACCGCTCGCCCCAACGGCGGAGCAGCGCGTCACGCTGACCAGCACCGTCAATCTCCTCCATCATCTCATCCTTGCTGCCCGTAGCCCAGCTTACCAAGGCATCTTCCATCGCCTTGAAAAGGTCGCGCATGGCCTTGATCTCCCTCTCCTTAGACTCTTCATCCGCGTCAGCTTCCGTCAACAGCTGTCGAATGCGACCAGTGACCTTGGCCACTGTTCCGAAAACTAGTTCGAAGACATGCGACTGTGCTAAAGAATCTCCTGAAGACTGCCCGTTGACATGGCTGCTGCCCACGAGTGCCCATTCAATGACGGAAAGGGGCAAGAGGATTGAGTAGTTCAGAAGTTTTTCCACGATCGAAATTGCCACGCCAGGCTGAGCAGCCCAGTACGACATGACCGCAGTAATAATTTGGGCTTTAGCCGCCTCAGACGCTGCGCCGACATCAAGAAGTCGGTCCTTGGTTCGCTCAATACACGCCAGAACGTGACTGAGAGACTTGGATCCGACCCAACAGACAGCTGTAACGAAGACATCGGTGCTTGTCACTAAAGGATCCAGACCACGTTCTATCGCGAGTGAGTGAATCCTCTCAATGATGGGCTGGAACTCTTCATCAGCTGCCTTGCGTCTAAGCAATGCAGCAATCTCGCGTCCCTCGGCCGAGAACGGTGTGCCTAAATCACGTCTTAGAAATACGATATCAGACTAATTATAGAATTGAATAAACTCACTTTCATCATTGAACTTGAAATCAGGGACGTCCTTCTCCTTGTCGGGGCCAATAAGGTGTTGATATGGCTCCGGGAGGGTTCCCTTGATTCGCTGCGCGAAGCTTAGTCGGATCTCCTTGTCGAGTGCACCCATGATAAACGCTTTCTGTGGGTGGACGTCAGGAAGGTAAACATCATCAATCCACTCGGTCCACTTCCAAGTGAAGCCAAAATTGCTCAGGTGGTGCGAGAACCAGTCCACAAACCGCTGCGAGAGCTCAAGATCAAGTCGGCTAGAGTTGCGGTACATATGGCGAATGGCTCGACCTAAGCTTGGCGCGATTGCTGCGGGCGCAATCTTGCAAGCCTCGGTCAGAACGGAATGGTAGTACACAAGTTTGTGCTCAGGAGTGGGAAGCTGGAAGAGTTGCGAAAAGACAGCATCAACAGCGACATCCTCGGGCTTCCAAGTCGACTTGCCGGTTTCAATGTCTCGCAACCTGTCGAATGGAGTGGCGCGCTTGACAAAAGTAGTATCGGAGAAGTAGCAATCCAAATCGATCAGGTATCGCGCGGTGACATTGCGGTTGAAATCCAAGATGTTAATGGTATCGACCAGGCCATCCCGAACCAAAGAAGCGGCGATGTCTGTGACAGGGGGTACGGACTCGATGTCTTGAGAGCTGTAAACGGAGAAGTAGACTTCGGGGAACAAAGGTCGAGGACCAGCAATGATGTTTTCAGGAACCGTGATGGCGGGCAGTGTATGCTTCGTGGCATTATCAAGCTTCTCCTGAGCTTCAATCTCCTCCAACGGAAGCTTCCAGGGCCTTGGAAGACAAGACAACTCCCAATTGTTTGCTGCTTCGCTCTGTAATTGCTTCTGCAGCAAAGCAATCACGCTCATAGATCCAGTCGGCTCATCTTTAATTGCGAGGTATGGATCGATCAGTGCCTGGAGCGCATGGGGTTCCGAGGCGATGATGTCCGTCTTGTCCATCAGGTCGGCAGCCTTCTGCTGCCATTGACCAGGCGCAGCCGCCATAATGTACGGGATCGTAAGGAGAATAATCTTTACCAGTTCTGTGCCAATTGTCTGCGGCATATCAGTGATAATGTCTAGCAAGATGAAGGGACAAGAAAGAACCTACGTCATCTGAGCTCGCGGTCTGAAGATCCACGGCTCGGCTGAACAGCTCCTCCAAGACGGGGAAGATTCCCTCGCCGTCCAGAGAGCTTTGCAGACAAGCCAACAACTTCAAATAAAGCTTAACGTCTCTCCATTCTCCAGCCTGAATTTTGTCCTGGGTGGCAGCACTCAGCTTCGCGAGGATGTCATCCACGATATCAGGCTTGAGTGTGTTCACCAAGAGAATGACACCTGCAACAAAAGGCGTCTTGAGCGGCTGTTCCAGCGCGAGTTGCAACACGAGGCTAACAAAGCTCTCACGGAGCTCAGCATCCTCAGTATTATCAGCTACAACATGGGCGATGCTTTGAACTTCTTCGTGCCACCGTCGGAGTGGGGACTCGGCAAGAGATAAAAGCTGCCTGCGAACCCTGACTGGAAGAGGAGCGGTGTCAATTCTTCGTCGTGACTGTCGGTGGTCGTAATCATCGTCGTCTGTTGTCGCCAGAGGCGGTTCGTGAGCCTTCAACTGAAACCATTCCAAGGGGCAGGAGCAAGCTTACCTCCTCTATGCCTTCTCTTTCTGTTATTGTAGCCACCACCTTGGTGACGTCTTCTCTCGTAGTCACCCATTGCGATTGACTGTGAGCGAGAAATAGGTGAGAAGGCGAGATTGGCTTTGAAGGAGATTGGCAAGTTGGAAGTGAGGCTTCCGAAGGCGGCTTCTTTCAGCCTTGAGACGGGGTCCACGTCAAAAAGTTACAGAGGGAAAGCGCGAGCTCCCCTGCTAGCTCGATTGTCGCGCGTCAATTGGACCCATGCGGTGCTCCTGCGTAAGAACTGTGCTTCTGCCTGAGGCATACACTTTTGTCCACTCACTTTTGCAAGGTTGAGCTTCCTTGTCCCCTGCTCCCATTACCTCATCTTGTGAATGTATATTTCACCAGAGCTGAAATCAAAGCATGTACAGTGACCGTCAACGTGATACTTTGCTCCGCGCTCCCATTCAGTCCGCACCTGACACACTTTGGGCCACATTCTACTCATCCGAACACCAGAAAGCCCGAAGCTTACTATTTATCATGCGAGGGCACGGACAAAGCAGGTCATCGAGTAATCGAGTGATTGCCTTGCATTGAACCTGCTCGGCCACTCAGGGGCTAATCCATAACGACAGCAACAGTCTTTCCCAGTATCTGAGCGAAGTAGCCAGTCCCAACCCTTTTAATTGACTTCCTTGGCTCGCCATCAGTGCGTTGCCATGAATAAACAGAAAGTTGAAATCTTTTCCTTGGAATCATGCCTAAAACCAATCCAGACCTGCCGCCCACGGCTCCCGACTAATGGGAGAGGGCTTCCTAACCCTCTCAGCCTCCCTCCGCTCTCCGCCAATAACCATGAGAGGGTCCAAACCTACAACAGTGTGTCCTCCAAGCATCTACCGAGCGCTAACAAGCAAGGAAGCCTCGCCAGACCATAATAAGTGATGAAAGTATGAGAAAAAGGTAGGCGGGACCGCCCAGGCAATTGCCCACCACAGTATAATGAAGCGTTTTCGTGTAACATGAGGGAAGAACAAAGAGAGAGCCATCTCGGGTCATGAACCAGAACGTGGTCTAAAATGTCGTCTTCTGCGATATGCAACAACACAGCCTCCCATAAAATGGTGAGCGACATGATGCACAACCCGTAGACATGCCTTGATGGACCCAACCCTTGCCTCCCCTCCTCTCTACCGACGCGAGGAGCCACCGCTTTATCAAGCAACAGACACCTTCGCATACTCTCGCTAGCGAAACTGTGACCTACGAGCGATCGACGCAGCCAGCTTGTAATCGTCATTCCACATTCAACATCTAATCATCACTTGATCCGTGTTCGAGAGGCCAGTGCCCTTGTAGTCCATGCATAAACTCGATTTCAGTATGCGGTGGTCGAACAGTAGGTTTGCGGCCGAGAAAAGTCGGGAACGATCCACGAGTGCGCTGAGTCCCTGGACATGACCTCGGCTTGTTCAGTCCAGTTTGGCCATCATATCTGCCTTCGGAATTGGAGTGAAATTGTCAATGTCCAATCCCCTTCCGGCCAGGACAGGTCTGATATGAGGGGGTACGAGTTGGTGGTTCAGGTTGGGCGCGATCGAAAGCTCTGTTCCGAGGTCAGTCATGTCTAAGCGTATTGTTAGATACAAGTCAAACTTACCATGGCGAGTGAAGTCGAACAGAGGGGGCAAGTCCCGAATTTCACCACTCTGGTGCCGAGAGTCGGGAAGTCTCGTGTTGGGATCCCTCAGCTCATCGAAAAAGGGATGGACCATGGCCTCGACGGCCGCTTGTCTCTCAGTCGGTGTGTACTCGAGGAGGCGTGCAATCAAATCAATAGCGTTCGCGTCCGCCTTCCTGAAGACCTTAGCAAAAGGATGGGGCTTGATCTGCGGGAACTTGTGCTCCATATAGTTGGGGTTCATTGTGCGGATCTGCTCCCGTGTTGGCGTGCCCAAGACCTTGATGATCTCTACCAATTGGTCGATGCCTGACTCTCCAGGGAAGAGGGGTTGCCCGAGCATCAATTCGGCCATAACACAACCGGTGGACCAGACGTCTAAGAGAAATGTTAGCTAGCTCAAGGACAAAAGCCAAAGGATTTCTCGGAGATTTTAAAGAACGTACCGATCTTGGTTGTGTAGTTAGTAGCACCAAAGATCAACTCTGGGGCTCGGTAGTACCGTGAGCAGATGTATGACACATTCGGCTCGTTCTCCACCAAGATCTTCGCGCTACCGAAGTCGCACAGCTTGAGAATACCTGATGTGGGGTCGAGGAGGAGGTTCTGAGGCTTGATATCACGATGGCAAATGCCTTGAGAGTGGATGTAGGCGAGGGCTCGGAAGAGTTGGTAGATGTAGAGCTTGACTTCCAAGATGGGCATCGTCGTCTTCATCTTGTTGAAGAAACGTGATGCGCGGTAAACGGTCTCGGGGACAAACTCCTGGACCAGATTGAGGTAAACCTCGTCCTTCTGTTCTCAAATCAGTCATGTGTTCTCCCGTACACAATTAATCAACAACAGTGCTTCTTACGCGTTCGCCATTGGAATAGTAGAAAGCCTTCAACTGGACAATGTTGGGGTGCCGGACGATGCGCATAATTTGAAGTTCTCGGTTCTATTCGATTCGTCAGTGTGTGTGTGGCCGTGAGAAGAAAGCCAGGTTGGCATACCTTGAATCTCTTGTCTTGGAGAACGCGCTTAATAGCCGCATCCTCACCTGAAGGCGAGAGCTTCGTCTGGAAGACGACACCGAAAGAGCCATTACCCACGATCTTGCATTGCGTGTACTGTAGGTCTCTCGTCTCTCCAGTCACACCGTCTTGCACCTTTTCACGAATAACTTCTGCAACAGCAATCAGCACGGCCAAGTCGGAATCAAATCAGTAATTGCCGCAGCTTACCTCCCATCCTGAGAGTGTTAAAGGCGGCGGGGCGATTCTGCGCCATGGCTCAGAAGGCGTTGTCAGCACGGCTTGAGCCCTGCTATTGATGGCCGACGTTGGGCGAATTGAGGTTGAGAAGAATGAGGGGTAACAGATTCGAGACTCGAAGGCGGGCCGTGATGGGCGGCAAAGAACGATTACTGGGTTTCGCTGACGTGAAATCCGTGCAAGTCTAATTGCACGAAAAGGAACAGACTTGCTGGTCGGCGAATCAATTGCCTGTATCAGCAACCGAAGGATAGAGGCCAAGTATGGTCGTGGGAAGTGCTGTAGAGGAAGGCGGCACCGGTAGCGGATTTGAAGACGGGACTCGGGTCAGCGTTTCCAGGGATGAGGAATCAGATGGTGTTTCGTGATCGACGTGCAATCTTTAGGAAACTGATTGAGGTCATTAGCAGGTCGACAGGAAAAATGATGCTGTAGAAACGCTCAAATGTTCATTCAGGGTCGACAGGGCGAAATGGGCAGGGTGTAGATGTGTCGTGCGACGAGCAATGATGAACGAGGATGACAGACGAGGGGTGCGGGGCGGGAGATATTTTGACAGGGAGAGGAAGAAAGTGGCAGGGCAGGGGAATATGAATGATGGCGACGATGCAAGACGAGTGGTGGCAAGTCGAAGAGTAAAGGCCACGGGCGGGAGGGAAAGGAATTGGGTAAGGTCGCTAGGTAGCAAGCAAGGCCAGGACTGGACAGTACGAGACTGGAGAGGCAGAGGCCAGGACAGGAAATAGGAGGGGGTGTGTGTGAGTGTGTGTGTGGTATATGCTGGCTGGTAGATGCGCTATGCATGCAGCACTGCAGTGAGGTGATTTTTGCTCTGCCAAAGGGGAGGGAAAAAAAAAAAAAGGCCAGGTACGTGCAGACCAGTAGTGCGAGGCAACTACAGATATTTTGCCCAACCCAGTACGAGAAGCAGGTCACAGCAGCTTGAGCAAACCACTGTTCTCGTGTATAGATGAACTGGTGACGACGGGCCGAGAGACAGGGCAAGGTACGGTGCGCAGAAAGGTGAGGCACGCCGACGCGGTGGGCTGTGGTGTCTGTCGGGGGTGTGTGGTTTTGTGGTGTGGGAAGGGGGGAGGGGGGATGTGGTGATGACGGCACAGCACGTCGCTGAGGGGCAGGCTTTGGGCCAGGCTCAAGGATCGTGATGTTCTGCCTCGTGCGACACGAAGAGGGACCCAGACGTGGGGTGGTTTGCGGTTGGAGCGACGATGAGAAGAACAGGGAAGCACTCACCACACAAGGAGATAGTCACTGTCAACAGAGCAGATTGCCAGAGATGGGCAGGAGGATGGGCCTCGTTCTGTTGCTTGCCGTGCGGGTAAGTTATGTGGTCGGGCAGCTTTGGTTGTGGTGACTGCAAGGCGTTTGCGAGGAAACGGAGCAGAGAAGGCAAGCACTGGAAGAAGATCTGTACCTGGGCCAGGAGGCGGTAGTTTCCAGGTGCGAATAACTATGGTGGGTATTCGACCGAGTCGTTCGAAAGAGACAATAAGAAGAGCAGAATGGCTCTCTTGCGGTAGGCGTGATTTGGTTGACGGGGATGGAGAACAGGTGCCGTTTGGGCGAGAGCGATGCACGACGAACGTGGTGAAGTCGGGGTGCCGAGAGGTGGGAAGAGGAGGATGTTGTCACGCCGTTTAGAAGCGCGAGGTGGGTAGGTTGGGTTGGTTGGTGGGAGAAGGAACCAAGGCGGTGGTGGAGAGATGAAGTAGGCAAGGTTGGTAAGGCAAGGTCAGGTAGTGGTAGTGGAAGGTAGGGAGGTACTTTGAAAGGAGGGGCAGCCCGGGGTGGGTTGTGCTCTTGAGGCCTCGCGGACCACACGGCAGGGCAGACTAGCGCGCGCAGCTGGACGAGGAATGACGGAGTGCGTCCCAAGTCCAGCGACGGGGCCAAGGGGGGTGGTGGAGGGTACGAGGGACGAATTAAAAAACAAAAATAAAAAATGGCCAGGGGGGAAGGGCTGCTGCTGCTTGCTGCTGCTGCTATCCGAATATGACAATTCGAGTCTCAATTGACAAATTCTCCAGCACGCGAATCCCGACCCTTTTTTTTTTTTAAATATAATGATGCTTAAAGGAGGTGCAGATCGGATCTTTTCTTTTCCCGTGGTCGTTTTGCCTTTTCCCTACGTCTTTTTAGGGCCCAAGGAACGCTGCGATGCTACGGTGATGCGGGTGTGCATCCAAATAGGCGCAGGCAAGGCCAAGGTAAGAGATGAGGAGTTGTAACTGTTCTGTACGAATTGCGGCGGCGCCCTCAAGTTCCAGGCGTAGATGACGGCGTAGGTGACCGAGTAAGGTGGCTCGGAGGAGGTAGCAGTCGGCCTCTTGACACCGTTGTCGCGTAGTGCAGCAACGAGTGCTATGTACGTATGTATATGTATGTATGTAGGTAATCCAGCAGGTAGCGTTGGTAAGGGAGGCAAGGCTGCTCAGAAGATCCCGCTTGGAGGGGGGTAGGGGAGGGTTTTGGATGTCCAGTGCGGCGGAGGGAACGACGGAGGCTCTCGCAGAAGATGGAGCAAAAGTCGGGTCGGCCGGTGCGCCGTGCGAAGAGGACCAGACACAAAAGATGGTCAAGGTGCAGCTAGGGAACGGTACGGTACGGTTACAGCCTTTAGAGCGTTGACGTTTGGGACTTGGAAGGTCCAGTCAAATTCAACCCAGACCAAATTCAGTTCCAGCCCCGTCCGCTTCAGTAAAGTAAGGTCACTCTAAAGCTCTAGTTTACCGGACGAGTCGAGTTGACTTGGGTCAGGTCCGTTCAGGTCCGGCCAGGTCAGGTTGGCGGGGGTCGGGTGACGATGTGAATTATGTGAGAATGATGCAGAACGGCTGTAGAGTTTAGAGAAAACCAGAGTTCAAGCAAAGTGCTAAGTGTGATATGGAACACACGGGACAACACGTTGGACGGTAGGAAACAGAGGAGAGGCACAAGATGGATGATTATCGACTATCCAGTCTGGGGAGTGGCCGGAGTTGTAAAGCAAAGTAATGAAAAATAGTAATGGGGCAAAGAAAGCCAAAGACGGGTTAAGTCGAGTCAAGACAATGACAGCCAACTTTTTTCCTTCCCTTACCCGACAGAACAGTAGTGCGAAAGTGCAGTCAGCCAAGTCAATCAAAACTCAGAACAGCAGACAAACAAGTCCGGTCCCAGTCAGTATGCCAAAAAACCTCAAAAGTCCAGGTCAAGTCCAGGTGCAGTCTGGGCAAGCAAGACACAGCGGGACAGCTTAGCCTTTCGTTGTCGTCCACTCTAGACAAGGACCCGCTGCACCAGGCTTGCTTGCTCATGTGCTCTTTTTGAGACGGGGAGGCAGGCGCTAAAACTCGGCAAGCGGAAGTCAAAAAGCCAATGGCCGCTCAGATTAGCCTTGTTGCTGCTGTCTCCTGTCAGGTTGCTCCTGCCAGCTGGAGCTACCTAAGGATGGGAAAGTTCCTGGAGGAAAGTAGCGACTTGGGACGCAGCCACCTGCACCTTTTCTGCAGCTGCCACTGTTGAGGTAATCCTACCGTAGCTGCCTTAGTTTTTTTTTTATTGTCTCTCATCATCCACTGCAACATGCTTGCCTTACGCCCTTCCTTTCTTCCTTCCTTTTGGCAAGCTGTCGGAGCGGGGAGCATTTGGGGGGCAGAACTAGTCAACGCCAGGAGGAAGGAACCGCAGGTCAAGGGAGCAAGCCAGCAAGTTCCCTCACTGCCTTGCTGTAACAGCCACCTTCCATGTAGAAGTCTTGAAAAAGAAGCATCACGTGTTCTCCCGCTTTTTTTTTTCCTGTCACCTTTTTTTTCCCCGTTACTTGCATCCTCTCACACGCTTGCTGCGTCTCCCTGTCATACCTCTCTCTCTCTTTCCCGCTCTCTGTCCCTTTTCCTCTCACATTTTCGTCCCACGTACCTTGGGTTAGGACGGCCCGTATCCACCACCATACGTCTAGTCTGCTCCTATTCGTCAGGGTACTGTCGGGTACCTTTGGCCAGCTGACCTACTGGGTCTTCCCATGCGTACCGGCCCAGTACACGAGCCAAGGAGATCAAGCCATGCACTAACGAAAGTCCAATGCGCCTTGGGCCGACCTGCTGAGCGACCCCGAGGGTGTGGTCAAGGCGACCATTGGGGGGGGGGGATAACCTGACCAATTACCCACTTATTTAAATGAATTATGGGTCTATCTGACCAATTTTATGATTGGCTGTATTGAGGTGAAGTGGGTCCACCTGACCATGGAATTTTTAATCGGTCAGGTGCACGGACCAGTTACTGATTGCGTCCCACTACTGATTAGGGTGCATACCCCATATTAATATTTAAATCCCTATTCTATTCTGATTCGCTTCCTTTTCCCTCCGTAACCCTTTCAAATCGTATGCGCCCCCCCCCCCCCCTGGCGCACCGATTCCTAATTACTTCCGAATCAGTTCAGAAATCCGACATCATGCCTTCATACAAGGATTCTGTAAGTACAATGGAATCGGTTTAGGATCGATTCAGAACTGATTCAGAATCAGGACGATTACAAGACCTACAAAGAAGGTCTTCTCCAGGGCGGCAAGAACCACCGCATGGAGGATCTTCCTCCCTTCGAGTTCAACGAGGTAAGTGATTCAGAAGCGATTCCACAACGATTCAGAAACAGTTCTGAATCGATTCAGGCTGGCGAAGTCAAGCTCGCCCCTGGCGAACTCTACTGCCGCTGGGGTGGTAGATCCAGCAGCATCACGTGCACCAAGGTAATTCAGAATCAGTTCCGGATCAGTTCAGAACTAATTTCGAATCGATTAGACGGAGCGGTTCTCGAGCGAGTCGAACCTCAAGAACCACATCAAGAAGCACAAGCTCGACGGGGTCCCGGCCAAGGTTAAGAGCCGCAAGTCCGGCGCGAACTCCGTCGAGGAGAACGATGATGCAGCTGGTAAGTGATTCTGAACTGATTCTGTACCGATTCTGAACTAGTTCTAAACTGATTATGAATAGAATTCTACGACCGCATCC